CAAACTTCCACAGCTTCCTGAGGAAAACACCAAAAATTAATCCTTTAACAGAATAAACAAAGAAGGGCAAAATACAATTAAAAACTCCAGAAGATAAGAAACAGAAAAAGGGTGATCATCGAAAGACTCAAAGCACCTGCGCCAAGCCAGTGAAGTCTGCTGGTTCCACACAACAATATAATTTTGAAAGAAATGATATGGTTTTCTCCAATGGTGGATACCAAGTTTTGAATATATCTGGGTTTGCATCAGCCTGCAGACCAAAAGGAAAAATTAATGCAGATAGTAGTGTTAATTATGGTGTAATTATATTTCCAAAAAGGGAAAAAAGAAAGCAAAATTCAAGCAGACATGAGCAGTGTGCTACTAATCTGGCCAACATCAATATCCAGATATGTCGAAGCTGCAGTTATTGACACTGCATGCTTCACTAAATGTTTATGGTAACATGTCTACAAGTAGGTTTTGGATCTGCATGTTTGCTAACCAGCAGGGACAACCCACACTTGACATATGCCCGTCTAATACAACAGGATGACAAATCCATTCCTGTTCAGCGTGAGACACCACATATAATAATCTTTTCTCCTTTACATGGCACGAAAATTTCTTAATCAGAAAAGCACTCATGCCAGATATGTATATCTTGCACATGTAGGAATCAAGTTAGGTCCTATAATAATGGTTATAAAGACCCTAGACATAAGGGTTTGAATTAGAAACAGCAACTTTGACTCGCAGGAAAGTAGCTTCCCAATTTGAAATTGTCCAACACATATGAAGATCCAAAACAAATAATTATTGATAAGCTGAGAGAACGGAGAAAATGTTAAGAGAACTTACAGGAGCAGTTTCTGACCTCATATCAGCAGAATGCTCCAGTTTTGCTGGGTATTCCAAGTCTTCATCAAATGGGATATAATTTGCAATCTGCGTAAGAAAGAAGAGAATGATTCAAGTAAAATCAACATAAATAGGACAACAATAGGTTCAGCATCGGGACGCATGGCATTAACCCAGCCATGCTAAAACAATTTGCTCTTTCAAAACACAGAAGGAAGTCACAGGCAATCACTTGATTTCCAGTAAATTAACATGAATCCATCAGATAGGCAAACGAACATTTAACTTCATTTCCCATTAACTACCACATACCAAAAGGAGTGAAGAAACTCCTATGCCTCAATGAGATAAAGGTTTGATAGCTTCCCATTGATTCATAAGATGTATACTACCAGACATATAGGCGCACACATATGCAATAACAAACCTCATCATGGATATGTGTTCGAGCACGAAAAGTCAAGCTTTCGTGAATGTCAGCCAAAATTCTCTCTAAAGTAGGGCATAACCCAGCCAATGACTCTCTCCTTCTACTGAGCTGTTCTCCTAAGACTTCAACTTTGAGGATATCAACCAATTCACAAAGAAAATCAACATTTGTTTCATGAATGAGTTTTGGCCGCAATGTGTCATACAATATGTAGACCTGCAACAAAATCCAACATCCTCTGATGCTCAAGTTGACAGACCTGCCGTCATGGGAATATGTAGGCCCCAGTTAATAAAAGACAGTATTTGCTTCTTCAATTGACAAACACCAGACTATGTAGAAACTAAACAGTCAGGCTAGATTTTATCATCTCTAAATGTCACCAAACAAAATCAACAACACAAACAGTGCATGACTCAAATAACAAGTATGTTTTGCTTCACTTAATCAGAAGTTCCAAGAATCATAATCATGTTCAGCTACTACACAATGGGAGAGTAAGTTGAGTATACCTGCATGAAGTAAGCACATCCTGATCTTGTCAACGATGGCAAACCCTATTTCTTGGCAAATTCAGATATTCACTGATGCACAATGCCCTTTATCTAAAAAAAGCATACATTAAAAGATAAATTAAGAAATGATTTAAATACTGAAATAAATTGTGTATGTGTGTGTGGGTGTAACACATCATCCACTCACCAAAGAAAGCCTCTGTTCACAGTACAATTTATGGCATTCTGCAAGAATATGAACATATTCTTTCCTTGATGCTCTGCTTTCAATTTCCTCTAACACCGGCTTAAGCTGCAAATGCTTAAAACTGTTGGTTGCCTCTGCTGAAGTGCAATCTAATTGTAGCATACAGTCCCATTTTATAGACAAGAGATTACTATACTTGCTATTAAATTGGGCAAATATTCATATTTGAATACACATGACAGCTTTCAGACCAAAAAAGGAAATCATTACCTCACTAGCAGCTGCCTTGAAACGGATATAAATTACAGATGCCTCAACGCCCTCAGAAAGAGATGCTTTGTTGCCACCACTGCTCCGAATTGCTGCCAGGACCTAATGACAGAAAGAACAAGCATTTTTGTGATAGGTTAAATCCATCCATAAATGCATACGTATGTACATAACTTTCATCTACAGGTGGATATCTTACTTGAGAAGAAGCACTTTTGAGAACAGAAAGTACATGAGAGTGGATCATACCCAGTGCACGAGACTGTAAAAACAGGTTTCCAGATTTTACTCAAAACATCTACTTATATACATGCATTTCATTAACTTAACAAAGCAGTTCATAGATCATTACCATCACTTCCTTACCTGGAGTTGATAGAATTTTAGCAAATAAACACTGGATTCTGCATATTGTGGATTATTTTCAATATACCTACAAGGACAAAATTTCAATATGATAAGTAATTTTGATAAGGAAAATTATTACACAATTGTTAACTAGCTTTCACAGTTGGACTAAGTGCAAATGCAAACTTACGATATGCACTCATCAAACCATTTAAGAAGTGGGAGAAAGTTTGCATTTCCAACATTCATGTTTGGAGAATAAAAGTTAGAAGTAATCTGTACACAAGAAGCAAAATTAGACAAACCATGAATTTCAGAACTATTACACTGACAGCAATTCTTCGAAACATTAAAATTAAAAATAGATCCTAAAGGATAATAGACTAAATAAGCGACGACAAGGAAGTAAAATATAAAGTAAACCAATCTCTAATTAAGATAGCATTCAAACCTTACATTCTCCAACTCATCAAAATACTTAAGCTTACTGCGAAGTGCTTCAGCAAACTCAATCAACCTTTGCTTCTCCATTACCTGCAATGAGAACAAGCTAGTGAGGCAATCAAGCAACCAACTTAAACCAAAATTTTCTATCTCAAAAAGGAGTGGGTTACAGCTATTGAACGTAAAGCCCGAAGTCAATAAACTAGAAACAAGAAGATGAAACTAAATTCCAAGCCATACAAATGAAAATCATACCAATCTATCACATGCATCATGAAGAGTTTTAGTTTTTGTTGCTACTGCTTGGTGTTGCAGTTGTTGTTCATTGAACAAGTGCAAGGTCTCATCCACCTGCACAAAAGTACAATTGCTAGCTTAAAAATCTTGAGGGAAATATAGATACAACACTATAAATAGCTAGAAATGCAAATGAGAATGCATGGAGATATAAAATACATCAAGAACGTACTTGTTGAAGTATATCATCACAAGTTTGTATGCAGTCTGTGAGAGTATTGACATAGTGCTGATACTTCTCCTCTGTCTAAATGAAGAGAAACAATGCAATAAACAAACATCCAACAAAATTACTCTATGATCATAGATGTTGGAACAAGGAATTGCTACTAACCTCTGATCTCATGGCCAATTCAATATCTGTAAACCATTTATAAAACTGTAATGAAAAGGGTGGAAACAAGTAAAAAGAAGCAAACTCTTTAGATCCAAATTTCATCGATTTCATAAAACCTATTAGAACTAGATCATTCAAAGAACAAACAATGTAAAAATCCAAAAAATGTTTAAATCCCCAATTCACACAAGAAATACTATAAAATTGATTTACCTTATTGGTATTAACCAAAATTGCTTCAATAGCTTCAGAATCTCCGAAATTGTTATCCTTTGTAGAAACAGACAAGCCATTATCTTGTCCCGAGGTTCGCTCTTGAGCATACAACAGCATAATCCAAACATCTTTCACCAAAAATCCAGAATGCACTAAAAAAAAAAAAAAAGATGCCAACAAGCAACAGAATTCCTCACTAAATTGGCCGGAAACGGCTGTTCAGCAACAGCCTTAGATAGCATCAGTATTGCTCCTTGTGCTGCTCCGTCAAAAGCGCATTCTACGCACAAAAATCCAAAAAAAAAAAATAGAATTAAACAAAAAAAATCTAAAATTGTGTTTCCAGTTCCACTTCACAGATCCTATCTTCAAACCAAAAAGTTTTCAGCTCTTCCAATTATTATTAATAATATTATCACAATTCGGTTACAATTACGGTTCCAGTGAAGAGATCGGCCAAAATAAGAGAGTAAGAACAAAGTCAAGACAAATAAGCTAGTCGAATCAAATGGTTAAAAAAATTATAGAAGATCTAAACTACAAGTGGTTCAAATCGTGAAGTTGAAGGCAAACATTTTTGTGTTCGAAGAGTAAGTTAAGAAGAAAAAAAAAAAGAAACCTGTTCCCAAGTAGAAGCAAAGTTGTAGCCTTTGGAGATGGCTCCAGAATTGGGGACGTTCGGAGGAGTTGCTGCTGGATTTGTTGCCACTCCTTCTCTTTTATCTCTTTTAGGGGTCCGGCTCTGATAGACCAGACAAACGGACTTGGCTATTTGCCTCGTTAAACGACACCAGTAATTGAATCTAAGTCGTTGTGGTGCGATTGATACGGTGGTGCAGCAGATAACTTTTCCAGACGAGAATGTTATTTGACCCTGATCCATTTTAACCTCCACGACGTCGTATTTCAAAATGGATGATGACATTTTCTTTTTCTTTTTTTTACATGACTAACGTTCGTCTTGTATGCTGTTTAGTACCTTAATGAACTCCTTTCGTTTTTAAAAGTCGTATATTTATTTTTGTATTTATCATATTTTTAATTTTGAAATAAATTTCTTTTTACTTTAAATTTTAAAATAATTAAAAAAAATATTCAATTAAAAATCTCATTAGAAGTTGTTTAACAATTCCAAAAAATACTTTTAAAAATAATATGATAAAAACTATAAAACAGTATTTAACAAAATATTTCCTAATTGTTACATCATATGTTCCAAAATTAGAAGTAGGACCAAATATGGTCCAAGAATAAAAAAACACAGTGGGTCAGTCCTTGACATCAGCAACACCTCCTGGAGAAATCTGAAATCGAGCTTCAGCCTCAGCCAAGCAAGGCGAGCTTATTACTTTACAAATGCGCTCCTCCCCTCTTCCCATCCGGAGAGTCAGTCTATTGTCAATGAGAGCTTATAGTTAGCAGCTTTCAACGAAGAAAGGTTTGGAAAAGGGGAAGTTAGGCCTTCTATTAACAAACCTTGTTGTGGAAGCATGAGCCATGATGTTACCACCAATAGGCTTAATTTGAGGTCCAGCAAAGATTGCCGAACCATCCACTTGGGCAACTACTTGGTTTGTAATTACAACAGCCACACCAAACTACAATCGCAAGACAATGCAGGAAAAACATGATAAATACAGGTGATAGAAAGGCCCAACTCCATACTTTGAGCTATCTCATACCAAAAAGTTTCGAACACTTAATCAAACCGATAATAGTAATCATAGCATGAAAGCAGTTCATTTTGTACTAGTAGAAATCAAGATGTAAACCCCTTACCTCATCTGCCAACTTCTGAAGGCTTCTGAGGAATTTTGCAAGATGCATTTGTCAGGCAGAGAGTTCACCCCTGCCAGTAAAATCTGTTCTGTAGAGGGCAGTAGCACTATCTACTATCATAAGGGCGAATCTGCAGAGAAATCCATCAAATTATCAATCTGCCATGCAGCTTGTTTACCCCAACTATACTAGAAATAATTCTTCCTGATGGCAATTAATGTGCACAATGTCAAGCAAAGGAAATGTTTTGACAATACCTTGTTTCCACCATCATTGAAGCTGCTTCAAGCAAAAGCCTAGACTGATGATCAGTGTTATATGCTCTAGCATAGGCCACATTCTCCAAGACATCAGCACCATTCAGTCCAAACCTGCAGCATTCAACGGTGTTAACTATCAATACTGTACACAGCAGAGCAGCATGGTCATATCAATGTAGCCATGTATCACCTCTCCGCTATCTGTAAGAGTCTTTGTGGTCTGAATGTCCCTTAAGCATCTATGTACATTGCTTTTCCCTCACCGCCTCCTTGATCTAATGGAAGCTGAAATATCAAAGAAAATCAGAATCATGCCATACAAAATTGACTTCTGGGTGAAAGATAGATTGCAAATTTGCAATCATATAAATTGTTAGGGCCTCTGATATGCAAAGAACTGATGTTAGGTAGTAAAACCCACCGTATGTGCAATATACATGAGCTACAAGAAAGTCAAACTCAGTATAGGAAGCATCCTATTGTGCATATTCATATTCAGTTTACTCGTTCAAATAAATCCAAACCCCTGTTTCATTTTGTCAATGTAACGTCATTACAAAAATGTATGGCAGTAAACTTCAAATGCAGAACACAGCTATAATTGCCAGGAAAATTAAAAAGAAAAGCTCTTACTTGACATGTGACGCACAATGTTTGACAGAGCTGCGTCTTTCCAGAACGGAACTCACCATATATCTCAGTAATGGATCCTGTCTCAATTCCACCTGTCGTAGAGAAAACCAAGTGAGCATGCAATGATACAGAAAATTATTCAACTCACAGAACATTAATTTACATTTCTTAACCAGTTGAACATGTAGTAATCAATTCCAATGAGTGTTTAGAATCAAAGTCAAACAAAACTTCACAAACATCAGAGCACATGTACCTTCCAAAATTTTATCAAGTTCACTTGACCCAGATGTTATCTGAATTATCTCGAACCTCTGAGCATGGAGCTGGCTAGCACTGGTGAAACCCAACGGAACCAGTTTGGAAGCTTCCAAGAACCAAGAAAGACAAACATATTAATTTTAAATCATTACTAATTGTAATAAATGTCATCAACAAAACTTGAATGGAAAAAAAGTGTGGAAAGAGCATACCTGCTTCCATGATCTTGTCAACTTTAGCTTCACTAATTCCTTTGATCTGAAGAAGATCTTTCCTTGGGGTGTAAGCAACAGATTCGACCGTGCAAAGACCTGCATCCTTAAGCTTCTTTACGTCCAGGGATGCAATGTCCGATGCCTTCAATTGAAGACCAAAAATAAGAATAATATGAGGATGTCATGAGAGACATGACAAAACATAATATAGCTGTTACTTAAGCCATAACATGTATGACGATTTCGTGAAAAACATGAAAATACAAAACCCAAACTCGAGCTTTCAGGCAAAAGAAAACTAAATTAAACTTGCATTCAGTTAATAGAATCTTGATCTACCATAGTTCAAAAACATTAACCATTGTTTAAAAACAGTTACATACAAACTTGTCAAGAAACCCTAAAAGAAAACCACCCAACTAATAGGCGATCGAAAGAATATAACCCATTCGGATACATTCCTTATCTATTCTAAATTACGTAAAAAAGGGGGCAAAAGCCGATATTTAAAAGAACCAACGCTGAAAAAATAAAAGTAGTCAAAGGGAGAAAACCCATTTTCGATTTTCAGAATCTTGAAAAAGAATTGACAATGATTCCTTCTGAAAATTTGGACCAATCAAGAAATGGAACAGTTTTTCAGCAACTTGGAAAAAAACCCACATCGAAAAGCGTCTTAATTTCTAGTAGAATTGAACAAAGAAAAAAAAATTTTGATGATGATTTTTTTCACCTGAAGTTGCTCGACAGGGAACGGGCCATGTTGCATCTCCTCAAGCTCCTCTTGTTGTTGTTGTTGTTGTTGAACCATCTTCTGGTTTCTCTGCTGTTCCATTTGCCGCTTACTATACCACCCCAGGATCTGTTCAGAGGCCCAAGCCTGAGTAATAAAGGGTTTAACAGGGAAAGGAGATGAAGGAAGAGAAAAGAGGGGAATGATGCTGGAGGGAAAGGAAAAGATTTTGAAAGGAGTTTAAAGGAGCGCCAAAGGGTTATGGAGTGGAAGATTGTCTGGTAAGTTTGGAGCTTTGTCGATTGCTGTAAATTAAATGGGCCTTTTACTTGGTTGTGAGTTTCGACTTTCGATTAAGTCCAAATGAAGACGAGAATGCATTTACTACTAATAGTACTACTTTCTCCCTTATTTTGGGATGCAGTTGATTGTGAGTATAATATAGAATACATGCTACTGCAGGTAAATTAGATGGTCAACAGTTGTTATTTTGACGCAGCCAGCTTTTTTTGTTTGTAAATGCTATTAATTTGTAAATATCATTAAGAATATGCCCAAAGTATGTGGTAGCAATTCGCTAAAGCAACGTTGTGAATGAAATCCATAAATTGTGTGGCTAGTGGCCCAAGAGAAAAATCTACGATTTGATTTGGATATGCTTCGCCGATCGAATTAAAAGCCCACCATGCAACAACAACTCAGGTGTTTAAATCAGGCCCCTTCTGCATTTTGGGTACTTCGATGCTTCAGCTGAATGCCAGGAAGAGGCTTATTAGTGGTGCCATTGCCACCGCCAGCTGAATGCCATGAAGAGGTCGTTTGTGGGAAGGAGCTCCCATGCGCTGGGTGCCGTTCCCCCTTCCCACCGCGCTTCCAAACGAAGCTTAAAAGGAGAAAAATAGAAATTACACAGTATGCATTAAAGTGATGAATTTGGGAATTGGAAGATACACAAACACACCCACAGCCAATGATGAACAGTTATGGATGTAAAAAGAGCTTTTTCCTGCTTATAACGAAAATATAAATTAACAGTTGCATATATTGATGATGATAAAATGTGGCAGCCATTTAACAAATGTAATTGGATGGAAGAAAAAAAGATAGGAAAAAATGAAATTAAAAAGAAGAGAAGGAATAGAGAGAGAAGGGGTATTGAACTTACATCATGACATATACAGGCAAAAGGATCCACATTATCATTCAATAGAATTACCACCTTCAGTATTTTCTTCACAAAGGTCTGTCTGCGACCCACTAGGAGCAGATGGCGGAGGAGACCACTGATCTGGCACCATGAGAAAATAAGTAGTCATAGCTTTTCTGAATCGTTTCTTGTACTGATGGGGCGAGATCACAGTCGGAGATGTGTTTTTAGTCCCACCAAGGATGCCCGAGGTCTTCACCCAAGTTTCAAGATGCTTGTCCCATGTGTATTGCCTCACGAAATCAATTATTCCAATAACAAGCTCATGCTTTTCCTCATCCACACCAACCAGTAATGAATAGTCCATTACATCAATTAACTGCACCAAAATGTATATATAATTATTAGAAAAGTATAAGGCGAAAGAAATAGGCACTCAACTCTGACTACTCGATCAGAAAGCAAATGTAACGATTAGAACAATTCAATTAGCTTATATGCATAGCAGAAATATGAAGAGCCCATCACTATTTAATTGTATAGCACATACAATGCTAGTGAGAAAAACCCAATCCTACACTGTGCCAGACAGCCCACACCCAACTCACATTACCCATTATTGTTTCTCTCAGGTCAGTATGATACCACAATATACATGCCGCACCACCACCACAGCTCAGATTTCTTTTATAAAAATAAAAAGAAAATCTTCAAAATAGTATGTGAATGCCCGGTGAAATTAAAATCAGAAGGTAAATTCAAACTTACAGCAAGAAAGTTTGTGTCATTCCAGACAGCCCTCCCCAACAACTGCTTCGCCTTGCTTCCAACAAAAATTGGAGAAGTCGGCATTGCTTCAATCCAATTCTGATCCAGAAGAACTTTGTTGCTGCCACTTGTATCAGGATTATACCTTGATCGAGAAGATCCTTTAAGGTCATAAATCCTTGTAACGTTACGCCTGAAGAAGAGATTTTCCATCACCAAAACGTCCATTTTTGACTCCTTCCCTCCTTTAAGGTACTTTGATGAAACCTTCAAGAAAATGAAAACACAAGAAATATTAATTAAAAATTATAGTAAATTTATCACAAAAATAAGAAAAGCCTAATTTAGGTTTGGAACTTGGATTCAGTAAAAACAACAACATGATGAAGCAAATAAAACTTGAAAATCTTCTCAGCGAGTTGCATATAGGCTGCTTATTTCTCAGGCTTTAAACATCTGTATATCATGTGTTAACACAGCATATTTGGACACAAATCTAAACCAAAGTTAGAGTTCATATTTAAATCAATAAGGAGATGAACACACACAAACCCATATCCATAAGACATCAAATTGTGATATGTGCTTTTAGCAGACTGAGAAAAAAGGAAGAATTGCCAGATTATTTAACCAAAGAGTGTTTTGAAAATGAATTGGAAAGCATAGTTGACAAGACAGGAAAAGCAATAGATAACCAACGCCTTGGGCTACTAAAACGAAATTTTTGCCTAGAATTATCAGCTAAAACTTCACTCACGAAATTCAACTACTCTTCATATAGGTTAGCAATTTAAGCTATATGGTTACATGGGTAACACTAGTAAATAATACCCGATATATGCCCAAAATCTTTGCCAGGCAAGTTGGGCTTCTTGAATCAGACAAATAATTGAAATAAGCTGGTCCAAACTTGATGAATGATTCTAGTTCTGTCTTTGTAACTTGTTTGATGATAAATCGATCATCTAAAGTTTTTGCAAAGAAGACATTGCTCTTGCCACCTTGGGCACCCCACTTCTTACAACGACTGAGAGACCGTATAAAATCCAGCTCAGAAGGGCAGCAAGTCCTCCTCAAGCTCTCAAACCGCTTTGCATAATAACAAGTTACGGAAAACTTCACCTTCCCAAGGGTGCCATCACCTGTAAAAGAAACTTTGGCAGGCCTATTCTTTGTGTACGAGAGAGGGTCAGAAACCAGGGAGCTATGTGACCCAGACAACGACAAGATACCATCATCACCAGATCCAAAACTTCTGAAAGAATCAGAAGATAACTCATTAAAAGAATTAAGTGAGAGCAGATTCACTGAATCAAAAAGTGACGATGAAACAGCAGAATCTACAGCATCTTTTGGTCTCTCCAACTCAGACATCAGTGAATGATAATCTGATGAGACAAGAGAATATGCTATAATACTAGTGGGCTCATCATCATAAACAGGCACTACTGTGTCATTAACACCAATAGGAAGCAGCAGCCTGGCACCACTTTGTCTTTCCAAATCCCTAAACGATGAGACATAGACTGGATTATACTCGTTGATACTGAGCTTTTGAGCATTGAATGAAGAATTCTTACTAAATGAGTCGTAGAAATTTGGAAATGGTATGCTTGCCCAGCTCATAGACTTCTCCATACTTTCAAGTCCCTTAGTAGGCAAAGCAGACTGAGGAGAACAACCCACTTCCACTTCACCATGATCACTAGCATGATTACCCAGATCCGAATTTACCGCAGTTGACATATCCTCCATGACTGAATCAGGAACAGAGTAACCATTCTCCTTAGGAACTATGCTAGCTGGGTGACTTTCGCCAGTCCATGCTGCCTCAAGGGTGTCAGATAAATTTGCCATAATTGGAAATTCCCCCTCCGACAGGGCCCTTCGTACAACTTTTTCAGATTCCAAAGAATCAGATTTCTCACCGGTAATTGCACTAGAAGAAAGAGAAGGTTCAGCCTCCTTCCTGTTATTAAAGTCCTGATCCATGCCCTTTTCTTTGTGATCTCCACCTGGCTTGCTAATTTCACCAATTTTGCCTCCTTGATTTATGCTTATATCAGCCTTGATCTCAACTACGGCTGAATCACAACTACTAAGGACTTTACTTGGCTTGGGACTCACATTCATCCCTACAAGGTTCTCCACAGAACTTACAGGCTTCAATCCAAGCTTTGGGATGGAACTGCTCATAACTTCCTGTATATTATTGTTAATTGAACTATATGAATGTATCAGCCTTTGGTCCCAAACATAAGAAAGAAAGAGCATTTGCCTCCGTAATTTATTGATCTCAAGAATGTCAATAACAGGTTGGCCAACTTTCACCTCCTTAAAAAGCACTTCCTGTAAAGATTCCTAAGGACACAGTAAACAGATTAGAAACCAGACAGTATGTCAGGCTGATTTTATGCATAAAAGTAAAACAAATTTAACAATGGGGTTAAACTTCTGGACAGGTTGGTTTAAGCATTAATTAGGACAATCAGACAGCAGTTGTTGCTCATTAGGGATGGGGGGAGGAGACACATGATGAATTTCAAACCAACTACCTGAAATCCTTTTCTATCTTTTTGCAGCATGGTTTCCAGTTCTTCGATACAGATTCTTCTTTCAGGTGCCTTTATGCCACCATCTAGGGACCCTGAACCTAATAATTTCTCTGAAATCTTTTGAAGAGCATTATGCACTTCGCTAAATAGGAATTCTGCCCTGTTACTCACCTGTAAAACAGTATTAATGATCTTGTTGGTGTTATTTGATTCAAGAATAGCTTTATGAAATGGAGCAAGGATTTAGGATATTCAAACCTTGTTTGCTTCACTTTGTATCCACTCCTGATTATCATAATTAAATTCCAGTTTTGAAGGTGGAAGATAAACAGAATGAACATCGATGGAAGCATATTGAAAACAAGCAACCATTCTCCCAAAACTGCATGTGGTAAAACACTACAATCAGAGGATACCACAGGCAACTCAATCTGAGGATAACACAGGCAACTGATAAGCTTTATATGACCATTTCTAAACACCTTTTGCACTTTTTTACAATCTATATTCCTTACCACTAATTAACCCTACCCTTTCCATCCCCTTCATGGCCAATAACCCTCCTTATCCAGAAGGGAGTAGCTGGATTGGGATTCGATCATAGGACTTCAAGACAATCATGCACTTTATCTTGGAGCAAAAACCACTTGGCAAAGTTCAGGTGGTTCCTAGACATGGAAACCTCATACATATGGGTACATAGGTATATGCCCTTATTACTGCTCAACTACATAATGATCTTATTTTCCTGATCACTCTTTTAGGATGGTAAACTATACTGTGTAAGAATAGCAACAAAGAGACTCAAGAACTTATTTCAAACAAAAAAAAAAGACTCAAGAACTAATAAGGGCATATGAATGTAGCCTGGCTACCTAGCTGAATCCAATGATGAGTAATGAATTTCAGAAGCCGACTTAAACCGACTATCTATGTACCAAACTCCCAAACAGAGCACAATTGGCCAATTCAAAAGTCAAATGGACTTTTTTTTGGAAATAAGTCCAATGTATGACCACTGTACTGGTGCAAGTATTTGTATTGAAGACCCAGGCAACTCATAAGTCAGTACTCTAAACCATATACAATCTATGAAGGGATGACTGTTGATAATCAATTAATCATTATGTTAACCAAAAATCACCAATATGACACATAGCAATAACATGCAATCAATGGTTCACAGGGAAAGCAAATTGATATCCTATAGACTAGAGAAAAATCAAATAAACATACTAAACAGAATAAAAAACCAATCTTCCAGAAGTACCATCTCCGCAAGTGATTGCTCCATTCAAATCTTTATTCTTTAATAAATGTAATAGTTAATACTTCATGCTTCTTACGTAAAAACTTACCCATAGAATCGAAGACAATCTCTGTGAAGGGAATGACCGCAGCTTGCAACTCTGCTAGCAGCTGCATGGTTAGAAAAGCTCAGCTCCAAAAATTTCCCAAAGGATAAACCCCAAGCAGCATCAGACATTACAACTCTTCGAGTGGCTGGAGGGAATCCATTGGTCCGAGGGCATCGCAAGCACCTATGCCACATCCAAATCTTGCCTTCCCGCTCTCCTGGCAAGGGAAGATCTGGTAGTTTCTTAACAGATATCGTCAAGCTGCCTTGCCGATGATAATAACAATGAACATGTGCCTCAGATGGCATCTCACATGATCGACAACAGAAGCTCTAATAAGAAGAATCTTAAGTTGTAGTAATGAGAAACAAAAAGGAGGATATGTTTTCTACATGAAATAATAACAATTACAATTACCTGATCAAACAGATGATCTCGTAAAAATCGCCCCAAAGGCTTATCAAAGCTCCCATAGTATTTGATTCGAAAGAGATGGGACAGTTCACACACAGTGTCCTTCCACACACAACGTGTTGATAATGACACCAAAATGCTCTGGTGGTCTGAAGGTGATGGAGGAAACTCTTCCTTTGAGGACCCTGCATCTTCATTATTGTTACTGGGATCCCGTTTTGAGGATGTGAACTCTGCACTATCTAGATGATTTGCAGCCATCATACTGCCACCAGCATAATTACTGCCACCACCTTGCTCTGGTCCTTCTGATAATCTTTGACAACAAGAAATGAACCGGTCACCCATTAGAGTTGCCCCACTGCAAGTTATTTTGGTCTGAACAGATTCTTTAGGATCCACTCCATAGATCTTGCCAAATGCATGATTTAAGGAGGGAACATTGTTATAAGAAGAGATACCCTCCCTTGAAGCAGAGAGTGAATTCAAGGAAGTAATAGCTTCAACAGAGTCTGAGGCAGATTCCTTGGACGTAGTCAGAGCCTGAGGACCTTTTGACAAGCAAGATGAACTGGCCCCTATAGATTTGCAAGGGGGCTCAATGTTGGGAGATGATGGTCTATCTGAGATAACCACTTTGTTGGATTTCAGCAATTCATTTATAGATTGAGAAGCCAGGGGCTTCCCAGACAATGGGATGGTAAAACCAGGTACGATGGAAATAGACCTGTCAAAACTAGATGGTTTACCGGGTAAGGCAACAGTTATAGGAGACTTTAAAGGGACCTCCAGAAGCGTGGCACCTTCGTCAGCTAGAAATGACGTCTCAAGAGCCAAGTGATAAGCTGCAAAAACTCCATATTGGACAACATGTTTCACCTTTTTCAATTCATCTCCATTGGCACCCTTGAGTAAAATCTGAAACAAAGTAAGCATTGGACCATCTTAGCACCAAACATTATTACATTGGAAAAATATGTTAGAAAGATTAACAAGGGTATATAAGTGGCATGATGTGACCCGCCAGAGCTTTATGCAGTTGCACCTACGCATCTTACCATCCTAACCGATTGCAAACAACCCGATTGCAAACAGCCACAATAGTTTCTGCTACATTATATTTCAAATTTAATCCAGAAAATATGCATGACAACGAGCACCTAAGAGGGCTGTTGCTGCCATGTGATGCTCTAATTGATGTAGTTGCAGAAGATGGTTTGGAGGAGGTGAATATTAAAAGGCATATTAAGGTGGCAGATGGGTTCTTCCACCTGCAAGATATAGGACCATCCAAAAGATGCTGGATGGCCAGAGTTGGAATTGCTCTATCAGCAGAACCTGAAGATGGTTAAGAAGAAATAACAAAGTCGTTTCATGCTACTAGATTTTTTGAGGAAAAGCAAGCTATCCCCCTAATATTGTCACTTGCCTTGAAATGTGGAAAGCAAACTAAAGAGATCACAGAGAATAAAAAGCATCATAGTGGAGAACAAATGTAAGTTATGGTCAGATGAAGCCTCACAAAATTGGTGCTTTCTCTATTTGTGGTTACTCCAGGTGGATTTGGCTAAGTATTCTACAAAAAAGCCACATCACTTGGTAAATCTAAAGCTAGCAGATGGTAGTTAATTGGATAGATATATCTTAAAGTAATATGACTGTAAAGCCCCATAGAAGGTATGAATTACTTTGGCTATAGCTGTGCATATAATAAGGGTGGAAAGGAACAAAAGTGTTCAACAAAGTGCAAACTGATTGCTTTGAAATTTTAATGAAAAGAATTGCAGATGTTCACATGCGCTTTAGAGACAGGATTAAAATACTGGACTCAGGTCAAAGATGGTAAATGAATGTTGAGTAGACTTCCATGATTGCTCATTAATTTCATAGAGCCTGGTCTATTTACCCCTCTTTTTAGGTTTAGCAGAAGGTTGTTTTAGACTTTTTTTTTTTTTTTGAGTTTCTCCTCATGTATTTATGTTGCTGAGCATGTGGTGTCTTTAAGACTGTTTATAACATGTTCTCATCTTTGCGAAACAAATGCATCTTCAATTACAGCAAAAAAACATAAATAAAATGAAAGATAAACATAAGTAAAACATATAAATAATAAAACTACATTTCACGCAAAAGTTTTGATAACTAAAATGTTGTTATGATCAGCAAGTTATACTGGAGAGATTTTCCAAACTATAAACAGATTTTGTATCTCAGCACTAAGCCATGGATATGAGTGCCATGTACACTGAAAGGACTTACAGTATAACCCAAAGGCTTTGGGCAACCCTCAAAAAACATTAGAGTCTTCTTCAATTTCTTCCCACCTTGCCCAGCACTTCCATGCTCCTCAAGAAATTTCTCCACATGGAACTCATCGCAATAACCCAACTTCGGTGATGATAGATGATCAATGGATGGAACTATTTCAGCACCAGTGCAGCGGGCTATACGCTCTAAGAGTGGCATCTTAATATTGAGAACAAGTGATATGTCATTGGCAAGAAGGTACTCTTGAGCATACCGGGACACAGATTTCTCCACCAAAAGAACATTAGGATGATGTGCATCAATTTTGGCAACTGCCATCTTCAAATGGTCCATTTCCTGAAAAGGTGGGTAACCTCTTAAAAACAAATATTACCATTAACTGCTTCATGTTCTAGAAGGTGGGAATCAAAGGAATGTATCCTGGCTCTGACCCTTATTAGGAACCTAGGCCAGTTAAACAAACCAAAATAGAAGGAAACAGTTAAAAATACAAACCTGTTGCAACAACGTATCAAAACTTGACAAGTGGTTAGAAACACGCTGATATTCCAAAGCTCCTCCAAGTATTAGAAAACGAGGTTTATCTATCTTTGATGTCATTCGCCGATGAGCCACATTTTTCTTACAAATAACTCCTTTAACCACAGCACTAGAAAAAACAAACATTGAAAAAGAAATCAGAATCCCATCAGCATAATTAAATGGTAGATAGAAAGAATAACTACAGAACCGACAAAGCCTTCTTTTGGCAGCACATTTGCATTAATTATTAATTGAACGTTCTTTTCTATTAAGACCAATATATAACTACCACCCAAAAGAAGTCAACAATCTCTTCAAATTATTCTCTCCCAGTTGCCTCAGATGAACATTAAGAATCACTGCAAAACCATTCTGAATACTTAGCCACAAATATGAAGGAAATTCACAAGTGATAGCTGATCAGATATGTAAAAGGACGTGATTGCGGAAAGAATTTTAGGCATATGTTCATGCACAATTAATTCAAAGAATTGCAATCAGTGCCACCAAGAGGAGGATAAAGAATATGAACCATTTGATATATTGGGAATTGCCAACCTTTACATGGAAATTATATATATACTGGAAGTATATCAAACAATGCAACAACTAAATATTTTCAAGACCTAACAAGTCAAATGCTCATGACATGAAACACAGTTAACTGTCTTGAAATCAATAATCGAATTGATTACGAACAAGAAAAAGTCATTTGTATGATTGGTCTGCTAGCTGCCACATGCTAAGAATTATGAACTATTATAAAGGTGCTCAATAAAAACAGGTGAAGTTGCATTCTTTTCGCATAACAATTAATAAATTTTCAAATTGAGTTCAGTGAGATTACCTTTCATTGCGGCACCCGGAAGCTAGACATTTAACTTTCACATATCCTCCAGGATCCATTCCTCCTCCCTTGCTTGTATCTGGCTTCAGAAGTGTTGCAGCTTCCCATGACAAAGATGTGATTATATCCAACCAACTCTCTCCATCATCCTTGTCCCCTACAGGGAGGTTTTCAACCTGCAAAAACTGCGATACCAAAGCTCTAAAATGCCCTTCCACCACATTTTTCATTACCTTCCTGTGCTCCTCACTGGTCTTATCCCTACTACGGCACTCCCGATTGCCAAAACTATGTGAAGAGCGTAAATATCCCCACTCCCCTGTAGCACCCTCATCATCATCGTCATCGTCAAATAAAGCAGCTTCTCTTTCGTCTTCTTCATCCTCAGGCTCTGGAGGGAGCCAGAGTAAACCATTGTTCTCAAAATCCACAGGCTCAGCATCTGTACCATCCACATCATAAGCTGGGGCTTCACCCTCGTCAGCATTCTCTCGCTCATTTACTTCTTGAAATTTCTTGATTCCATCCACACTTTGTGCATCGAAATTCTCAGCTAATGGGGAACCACTCAAAGATTTTGCATTGGCGTTTTCTCCGTCAGGATGCACTTTATCTGATCCATAAACATGGTCAATTTCATCAATATTGATTGCACCATAATACTCTTCATCGTGAGCATAATGCCTTGATTCTGAATCTGAACGAAATAGACCATAATCATCATCTTCATCATCACTCCTGGAACCAACAGTTAAGAAAGTAATAAGTATTGATCAGTCGCTCAAAATCATAAAACAAAAGCACAAGAACTTGAGATTATGTATTCCAATCAAGTCAGGCTGTGTAATTTGAACATGAATTGAAAAGGCAACACAAAAACATTGAGTAAAGAAGTAATGGCTCATCTAGATACAGTTAATCATGAAAGATGCATTGCTCAAATCTTAACCCCTCCCCCCTCTCAACAAGCATTGAAAATAATGCAAAGGCATGTGAAATTCCAGAGAGAGTTAGGTAAAAACACTTTCTGCTCACTCAAAAAAAAGTTAGCAAGGGGGAAGGTACCTGTTACCACAAAAGCCAAAATGGTTTGAAGAAGAATCTACTACGGCAGAACTGGGATTTGTGCTCATCCCAGATATCTCATTGTTTTTTTCAGCAGGTGCATTCATCTGGACAGATTCACAAGGACTAAGACCAGAATTATAATTCACACGGTGGTAAGGTCCAGTTGGATACGGAGTAGAACCAACAGTGCTGCTACTACTATTACAGGTGCAGCAAGACCTGGTACTGGCCAAGCTTGTTGCAGATGGTGATGGACTGAGACCAGGAGAAGGTGCTTTGGTCCCATTATCAACAGCTGCTATCCCCTGCTCCCATTGCTTGAAGCAGTAATTGCATACCCTAATCCGTTCCCAATCTTCCCGACTAGCTCTTGGCTTATCAGAGGGGGCAGGAACCGAGTTTGCCGTACATTTGGCACAGAAAACCCGGCCACAAAGTCGACAATGATGCCTACGATTAAATACTGTAAATTGGGAGTCACACTCGTAGCATACCATACAACTCTGATCGGGCATCCAAAAATCCCTGGACACATTCAGTGGTTCACTCCTCCTAGGGATCCACGACTTAACTATGTCAACAAAGTCAGATAGTTTGTTGTCAGGGGTGCCCATCGACAACTATCCCACCTGATCGCAGTCATCATGATTCATTCATTTGCTGCTCTCACAACCACAGCCACAAAAATTCAACACTTCCAAAACCCTGGCCATATTAAAATCACAACAAATTAAAAAAAAAATGAAGTTCCAACAAAACCACTACTCTGAAACTTATGAATCCAAACCGAAAAGAAATTCTATTAATCGAAAATGGAGGGAAAACTTAGATTGGAATTGACTTTACTAATAAAAATAAATTTAACATATTTGAGCAACTAATTTACAATTACATGAAAAGCATAACATTAATAAAATATTTTCAAAAGAAAATAATAAGAAAATTAAAATTACCTGGAATACTGGCACCTCAAATTCCACTATCCAAAAGCCCTAAATTCCAATCTCTTCTTCCTCTTCCTTTTCTTCTTCTTCAGTTAAAGAGGTAACTTCTCCTCACTGCACGATCCAATGAACCACGAAAATCAAAAATTAATTAACTCATACCGATAAACCCTAAAAAATTAAATTAATCAGATAATTCTCATTGAGACCGATTAACAAAAGAGAAGAAAAGACAATTTAATCGGAATAAAAGTTCATTTGGATCCTCTAGCAATGGAAAATCTCATCAAGAAAACTGAATTCCATATTTAATTGATTAAAACTCAATTAACACGTCAAATTTCTACTTGTATAACATAACAATAAAAATTACATTGAAACTGCTGAACAGAGAAGAATCGAAATCAAAAGCCGTTAACCGCCAGACTTAATTTTGTGGCAAATTTGACGACAACGATGAAATCAAATATACACGATTTAATTTTCCAAAAAGAAAAAAGGAAAAATTAAAAACAAGACTACGAATTTTTTTACTATTTTTTTATAAAAGAAAGAGTTCTACCTTCTTATTTTCTTCGATTAACTTTTTTTTTTAATTTTCGGTTTCCTGTTTCGCGTTTTTTTGTTTTCCTGTGAAGTCTGTGCTTTTTGTTGTGTCGTTCTCGTTTGTTTGTTAGCTTGTTTTTCCTTTATTTTTTTCCTTTTCTATCTATTTCGGATTTTTTTTTTCTTGTGCAAAAGACAACGGACCTTTTCTTTTTATTTGAAACGCGTCACGTTTGTGTGCTGTGTGATGATAATTTTACGTCTTTTTCTTTTATATAAATAATTTTACTTATTTTTTCGATCAACAAAATATGGAGGAATGCCTTTCAATATTATTTGTCTTTTCATTTCTATTTTGTATAAATACTAGCATGATATCCATGTATTGTCACAGGTCAAAATATTTTTTATTTTATCATTTTTATTTATTAATTTTTATTATAAAATTTTTCTAATTAAAAAAAAAACAGAAGATCAAAAAAAATTGAAAGTAACACGTAAATATTTAATTTGGCCTTTTCTAACTAATAAATTTATTTAATTAAAAAAATCAAAAACAAAAAAGTGAAAAGTATAAAAACAAACAATTAAAAAAAAAAGTTGTTAGAGGGCTCCACGTTAACTGTTAACACCACATTCAACTTAAAATGTCAATTTTATAAATTAAGTTATCTAATAATTTTTTATTAATATAATATATAATAAAATTAATAAAGAAAATTTATATATATGTCAAAATTGATGAAACAAAACATCCTAAACAAGGTTCCTCCGTCTCCCTTTTTTTTTTAAATTCAATTCATCATAACTCGATTTTAATTTTAACAAAAATCATTTCTATTATATCAGAATTGATTAAAACTAGTTGAATACAATTTATTTTGATATTTCTACCAATTGACATATTTTATTATAAAATTTATCTAATTAAAAATAAATGATCACACAAAAAAATTTTAAAATATTTTAAATGTTTATTAAATATATAAAAAGTAATAAAAAGGAAAAAAAAAAAAAACACGATGTATACCTTGATATGAAATAAGTTCTATATAAAAAAATTTTAGATCTTCAAAAAATATTTATAATTTTTTTAAAAAGGAAAAAAGATTTGTATAAAGTAGGGATCACCTTAAAAAGTAAATAAATACATATATATTAACTATTAAAAAAACTAAAATAAGGTAAAAACAAAAATAAAAAACGATAACAAACAAGTTTTTAAAATTTAAAAAAAAAAAAAAAGTGGCACCTAGGTTAAACTCTGCCAAGAGTAAAATTTTGATTGGTTTTAAAAAGGAAAAAAAATGGTAAAAAAAACAAAAAAACTTTGTAGATTGCATTCCACCTTAAGAAAACTTTTTAAAAATATTTATAAAAGTCAGTAAAAAATTTTTAAAATCCTATAAAAACAAAGAATTAAAAAAAAAAAAACCAACATGTGATACATATAAGAAAAACAGTATGTCGTACATTACAAAAATTTATTATTTAGATTTCAAAAATATTATAGGATATGTTTGAATTGAGGGGAGATAAAAGAAAATAAAATAAAAAAAATGAATGTAAAGAAAATAAAACTCATATGTTTGGATAAATTTTTAATTAAAAAAAATGTGAAAACCAAATAATTTTTAGTTTTTTTTGTAAACTTAATTTTTTTAATACCCAATTTGATGAAAAAGTTAGAGAAAGGCAAGTTGAAACTTTTTTTTTTATAAAAATACTATTATATCAATTTTTTATTAATATTAAAAATTTAATAAAAAAATATAAGCAAATCATAATCATCCTATAATTTTTTCAAAGCCATATATTTTTTTATTAAGTTTCAGATATCTTTTTAATATAAGTTTTTTTATAATTTGTTTATGATTTAATTTTGATGAATAATTGAATATGAATAGATATATTTTTTGGGTTTATGAGATGTTGATTAGTTTAAAATCTATTTATGTTTCACTTAATTAAAAACTATTAATATAGCAGCAATTATGAAACCAAACAATATAGTAAACATATTATGATTCAGGAGTGCTCTAAAATTACAAATAATAAAAATGTTATAATTGAAAAAAATTATTATAATTAATCATTTCATTTCATTTTCACTATTTATCTAAATAATAATTAATAAAATTATTTTCCCTTCATTTATTAATTTTAATTATTCAAAATTTATATATATCATTATTTTAAAAACTTTATTTTTATTTATTAATATTTATCCAAACATAATGTGAAATATAATATATATAAGAGAATTCACTTATACTAATATAAGAGTTTCATATTTTTAATCTTTAAATCAAAATTAAATTCATTACATTTGCGCATATTGTTCAAATGATAAAAAATGTGTAACTCTTATATTAATATAATTGGATCCCTCTTCGTATATATAAGATCGTGAATCTTGGGTTTAAAATATTTTTATTTATCAAGCTTAAAATATTTAAAGCTTATTAAAAATAAATATCTAAATATTTGATTTAATACATATTTCATGTTAAAAACAATAATTATAAAAAATTATTTATATTAAATAAATTTATCTATTATTATTTATCTTTAAAATATATAGATACGTATAAAATAACTTTTTATTTCTTCAAAAGATACTATTACTTTTTTTTTATGGAAACATATGTGACGATCACTTTATTTTAAATGTTAAAAATATACTCCCTGCGAATACATTTTTTTTATATAAAATAAATTATAATCTAAAAATTAAAAAAATTATAAATATTAAAATTTAAACTCAAACATATTAAATTTTTAAATATGTAAATCAATTAAATTAAACTTTCAATTTAATTCTCAACAAATACACTTATCTTCTATTAATCGTTTTTTCTTTGTGCTTACAACTAAGGAAATGAAACAAATAAATTTAAAATGTTTTTAAACAAAATGAAAATGCATTTTACATATAATTTCAAACCATGTTTTTCTAATAGGATTTTTTTTTGGTTACTTATATTTTTAGGAAAATCAAACCATTCAACTACTGACAGTTGTATATCACCTTTGCAAAAGCTTTTGAAATTTCAACTATTGACAATTTTGCCTTTGAATGCCAGAGGCAAAACACGCATGGCACGTGACATTACTAATTGAATCATTTATAGCCATTAATACGTCAAACACCCAAAAGCACAGTGTTTGACCATTTTTATTTATCATTATATAATGGTATTAATTTTTCAAAATAGTGTTTACTTGTATTCATCAATTGTTACATATTTTTTGTTTTAAGGTTTAAAAAAAAAAAAATCGCAGAAATCAAGTACAATACGTAACTCTTTTATATTAGAAAACTATTTTTGTGGCACGAAACAAAAGATTTTCAGTTTTAACTTTCTTCAAGTGGCCACGAGAAGTCAACGATCCCCCGTAATTATCAGGGCGTTGCAACCTTACAGAAGCCTCTCGTCTGCGTTTTATTTTATGGGTCTAGGCAATTGGACCTTTCAAGAATAAACATTGGGCTACTTGAGCCCAAAAAAAAGCTCAAAGAAACCCAAAAATCCTCACCCTTTTCTTTTCTCTGAAACTTTCAAGGTGGTTTTATGTTTTCTTTTTTTTTTTTTCAAAATCTTCATTTAAAAATGTAGTTTTTTCGATGTAATTATATAATAAGATAAGATATTAATATCATAATAATCCTAAATATCCTAAACGAATCACTATTGGGAAGAAATATTTTGTTAATAAAGTGAATCTTTTAGGCATAAGTTTATCTTTGTTCCTTGTTATAGATGAGTTTTTTTTTTATTATTAGATTCAATAAATATTTGTATTGTACAAAATAATAAAATTTATGTATTTATGTCGTATTTTATATAAAAATTATATGTTATAATTTATATTAATATAAAAATAAAATATTTTTTTATTAAATTTATATATACTTATTATTAAAACTTTAATTTATATTACATTTATTTTTTTCATATAATATTTATATCATCTTATTGTATAATATTTTAAATTATCAAATATATTTTTAATCTTAAAAACACATTAGAAACAATAATTATTGTCCTTTAAATAATTAAAGGAGATGACATACTTGATTATAGAGAAGGATTCCATGTTTTCTTTCATGACATCGTGGAAAAAAAGCGTGGAATTAACTCCGCTTATGAATTCTGATATTAGGATAATTTTTCATGAGCAATCTCGAAATCATAAATCTAAATCTAAGAGAGAATAACTATGTTATCTGAGTAAGCCCATATATTAATATTTTTAAGTGGATGTAGTTTTATAATTTTTTTAATTATTTTTGGTTAAAACATGATAATTAATTAAATTTGATAATTCATGTATTTATATTATATAAAATATTAAATTTATATATTTATATTGTATTTTATATAAAAATGATGTATCATATTTTATATCAATATAAAAATATAAAATAATTTTTTATTATTAATAAAATTTTAAGATATATTATTTTTATATTTTATATTTTATTTATATCATATTTTAAATTATCATATTTAAATATTTTAAAATTTTTACCAATTATAGGAGCGAGGTCTACTAGAGTTGAAATTTTTCTTTTTTAACTTCACACTTGTTAAATGCAAATGCCATTGGATTATATTAAGTTGTTACTGGATTTCTTTAGTTAGGTGCTGTTAATGACTATTTTATTTTAAAATAATATAAATTATTTGAGTTTAAATGTATATATATATATTTTATTTATGTATGAAGATATAAAAAAATTATAAATTACAATATTTTTAAAATTTTATTTTGAATTTTTTTAAACAAATTTTTTTATTCAGTTTAATTTAATAAAGTTAAATATATTGATATATTTTAATAGATTTTTCTAAAAAAATCCAAAATTTTCATTTAATTATTGATTTTTAAATTTTTTGATATTTAAAAAAAATTTTAGATAAAAAAAAAAGATGAGACCTGGTTGGATGACAAATGGCATTCAATGATACTTTTAGTTAGCCTAAAACACTGTTTTAATCGGGAGATTACTTTTATACAAGCAAAGTTTATTTAAAACTTCTTATTCAAAGAAGCACAAATCTAATCAAATGTATCGAAACAGGCAAAAAATAATTAAAATAATTTTATATATAAATTTAATAAAATAAAAAATATTTTATATTTTTATATAAATATAAATTTTAATACGTAATTTTTATATAAAATATAATATAAATATATAAAATTATAAATTGTTAAATTCACTCTTTTAACATTCTCCACAATTCAATTCAACCAAATACATTATTTAAAAACATAACTTTTTTTTCTGGGTTAAATTCTGTTAGATAAATATGGAGCAGTCTTGGGAAAAAAATGTCATTTAATCGAAGACCCAAGAGCAAAAGATTGATGATGATCATCGAGATGATACTGACAACCTTTGACAATGAGAACAGAACGCCCTGAATTTGTGTCCAAAATCAAAAACCCGAAAAAAGAAAAAAGAAATACCTTCTAAACTTTTGTAGTACTAAGTGTATATACAGTAGGAGATTTTTCAGTAGTATTAAAATTTTTTAATGTCAAGAACACAAAAATCAGGGAGCAGATAAAGAAAAAGTTCACATTCTCAAAGTTAACGAATATAATGTAGTAGTAGTAGTACTAATGGTAACATGGTATCAAATGTGAAAGAAACAGATTAATAAAAAGTCAATTAAGAGTTCAATTAACAAATGGGTTCAATTAACAAATGGGTATTTCTTTTCTTTGTGGGTTTCCTGATCAAACGGTTCATGAAATGGATTTCATATACGAGAATGTGATTGGGGAAAAGGAAACTGTAGTTATTAAAATACAAACTGACAACAAAGAAGAAAAAAAGGGAGGGGGCTGGGCCTTTTGGATATTAATCAAACAATGCGAAAAAAGGTTTTAATTTTTTTAGTTACAATTATTTATTGCGTTATAGGATTTTGATTTTGATTTTGGGTTTTTATTTTTTTTATTGTTTTTGTCAAAGGGGAGTGAGAGGGGGATTTTTATTAGGTGAAAGAAAGATGTCCTTTCGGGTGTTTTATTTGATATATATTTTATTATTAGAGTGAGTATTCTTAAACAAAGGGATTTCTTTTTTACTTTTCGATTTTTGTTCTTTGGGAGGGTTTGCTTCTTTCTGTTCATTGGGAATTTTCTTGGTAATATGAGTTCTCTATTTCCTTGCTAATCTCATCTGGGTTGGTGGTTTTTCTTCAAATTTTGAATTCTTTTAGCTTTGGTTTTTAGGGATTTTGAAGTGTCTGCAAATACAAGGTGAAGTTTCTTTGCACTCTCTGGCAGAATTTTGGAAAGCCCAGAGATTTTGAGAGGTGGGATTTTTGAGTTATCAGATTTGCAGCAAGCTTTTTAGGGTTTTGATTTGATTTCCCAGTAGTGTTTTAGGTTTTTGGGATTTCTTAAAAGGAGGCATTGGTGCCTTATACTTATTGGCAAGCTTGAGTTTTGTTGGGTCTGGCATGTTTGCATGATGTTTAGTGCTCAAGGGTCTTCAAGGAACCATTGCAGTCTCCTTGCAGTTCTTTGTGGTGATAAAGTTTCTGATAATAGACCGAAGCAGTCAGATTCTGATGATAAGCCCAGATTCCCCTTTCCAGAGCTTGCTTCTTCAGGGCGCATCGAGGTATATGAATCATCTTAACAGTTCGACATTTTTAAAATTTTGGCGTTTTAGCAGAAAATTGTTGTAAAGTTGTGACATGTTCATGCGTGTGAGTGCAGGTTCAGCTTCTGAACAACCCTAGCGTTGATGAGTTCCGGCGGGTTCTTGAATCTTTAGAGCCAAATATTGTTTACTTGCAAGGAGAGCAGACTGCAGATAGCGAAGAAATTGGCTCTCTGGTTTGGGGATATGTTGACTTGTCCACTCCAGAAGCCTTATGCGGACTCTTTGGTTCCACATTGCCCACCACTGTTAGTGATGCATGATTCTGTTATTATAATTGTTGGATAGAGTTTATTATTTGATCACATTCTCCCTGAAATTGTGTGATAAGGTGCTACAGATATGGGACAGGATTGAGTTTTTTATACTTTTTTTTAATCTTTTCCCTCTTAAGTTCTTGATACATTTATTATTTCCTTTTTGTTATGTGACTTATTTTACAAGTTTTGCAGGTTTCAGTGCTTATTTAAAGTTCGTTAATCATTATATATGTTGAATTAATCTATTTTCAAATGTTTGTGCAGGTTTATTTAGAGACCCCCAATGGTGACAAATTGGCAGAGGCACTTCACTCCAAGGTAAAATTATTGATCATGGTCATTGGCAAACGATTGGAAATTCATTCTTCATGTTTTTATAAAAATGTTATTGATATTCATTTCTCTTTGGCAGGGAGTCCCTTATGTTATATATTGGAAAAATACATTCTCGTTTTATGCAGCCTGCCATTTTCGTCAAGCACTGTTATCGGTGATACAAAGGTAGGATCTTCTACTTCTGCTCATTTTATATATAAAGCAAGACTTGCTTTCCCTATCTTCCTGAATAGTGGTTGTAGCGTGTTAATTGTCCAAAGAGGTAGCTGCTATTGCTGTTAATTTTGGGAATTGGTTAATAATGCAAATTTACGCATCCATTTTAGATGACTTCACCTATTTTAAGGCTCACTGAATTATTACCTACAAACTGGAAGAAATTTTACTTTACTTGGAGACAGTACTAAATTTTTGCAGTTTTGGTCTATTGCAGTTCATGTAGCCATACATGGGATGCATTCCAACTTGCCCATGCTTCTTTTAGACTGTACTGTTTATGGAACAACAATATTGCCTCTTCTAATAGTCAGAAACAAAGTGTTAAGCCAGGACCACGTCTGCTCGGGGAGCCTCCCAAGATTGATGTTTCTCAACCAGAGGTAGATATGCAAGAGGAAGAAGGCTCTCCTGAAAATCTTCCCGCCATAAAGATATATGATGATGATGTGACTATGAGGTTTCTTGTTTGTGGATCACCATGTGAATTGGTAGTATTGAGTTTTAGTTGTTCCTTTGTTGAGTCATTAATTGTATCTAATACTCTGTTCATCCTTGTTTATATTGGTTATTAACTGTACGCCCTGCAGGATGCATTCCTGTTGGGATCTTTGGAAGATGGACTTAATGCCCTCCTGAGCATAGAAGTAAGTCTGTACAAGTGTTTTTTTTCTTGAATGTATATCTTTAGTTTTCCTGTTTTGGCTTATATGTTTGTTTTGCACTACCATCTTTTGAACATCATCATCTAAGAGATTATGTTAGTTATGGCTGCATCTACATTTGGTTTGAGTAACACCTGGTGTGTTTTTAATGGTGATGACAGCACAAGATCCTCCATCCTTCCCTCCCTTTTTTCTTAAAAGTTACACATCTCCATCCTCTCTTCCCAAAGGTTTGAAATGATAATTCTATTAGATTTCGGTTCACCATAGTCCTTCTGGACAGCAGTATGGTGGCTGCATTCTCCTTTGCAAAATTCATTTTTGGCATGGAAAGATCAGCAAGCTGAAATAAAAGTACCTACCCCAATTAGCAAGGGTGCGCATGTCATCTTCACCTTGATAATCAAAATGGCATAAGAAAAATTTATGAATGAGATCAATGCTATTCTATACATGCCATCAAATTGAGCTACACAAGGTTGCTCATGCAGTGGCTTTGCTGTAGTAGGGCTTAATGACATGATAATTGATGCATATATTCAATTGGTTTGATGTTCATACTCACATGAGAGAAGAGTACCATATATTTCCATAATTATATATTTGTAGCATGTACAGGCATCATCTGCTTTATCCACTTATTAACTAGATTCACTGTGGCATTTGTTTCAGATACGTGGGAGCAAACTCCATAACCGTGCAAGGTATTGATAACTTTGAGTTTCGTTATAGTTTGTTATGGGAGGGGCTGGCTTTGTTCAGGTTCTGAGGTTGAGCATTTGTGACTTTGATCTTTTCTTTTATGGATTTCCCATTCCCCACTTACTGCTACCTCCAAGTTTCTTTTGTGTCATTATCATCAACATCTAACGACATTTATTCTTATAGTGCTCCACCACCACCTCTTCAGGCGGGGACATTTTCTCGTGGTGTAGTGACCATGCGTTGTGATTTCTCAACCTGTAGTTCGGCTCACATATCATTTTTAGTGTCCGGTAGCGCACAGACTTGTTTTAATGATCAGGCAAGTAATTTTGATCGGGATAATTGCTAGTGTTATTTCTTTAAGTTCATATCTGAAAGTCTTGTTTTTTGTTCCTTGTTTTGTTGTCTTAGCTTTTGGAGAATCATATAAAAAATGAGCTTATCGAGAAGAGTCAGCTCGTCCATGCACAATCAAGTTCTGATGAAATCAAATTGCCTTCATCCGAGCCTCGTAGATCAGCCTCAATTGCCTGTGGAGCGAGTGTGTTTGAAGTGTGCATGAAGGTTCCCACTTGGGCATCACTGGTCTGATTTTCTCTTTAACAATCTTATTCTTTCTCTTAAATTTTTCTATCTTTTTATGCATTTCTTTGTGTGTTTCATCCGTGTTTGTTGCATGTTTAATTACGGGTGCATGTGCAGACTCTTTTACCATAAACTTCAGTAGAGGTATGAATAAACATTTGAAGGAGAAAGTTTTACTGAATTATGCCTTGAGATTTCATGATGGTAATTCTGTTTTAGTTAGCTTGATTTTTATTTTTGTCATCATGATCTGTTTCTGGGAATGGCTTAACAGGTTTTGAGGCAACTTGCGCCAGATGCATCCTACCGCAGCTTAGTTATGCTGGGGATTGCTAGCATCCAAGGGTTGTCGGTTGCTTCTTTTGAAAAAGATGATGCTGAACGGCTGCTTTTCTTTTGCACGAGGCAGGACAAAGATCCCCTATGGGCTAGTTCTGTGATTGCCAGATCTCCCAGCTGGTTGGTGCCTCCGGCACCTTCTCGTAAAAGATCAGAGCCATGTAAGGACACTAAACCTCTAAACTGTACTGTCATGGAAGGTGTAAATGGTAATGCAAGACCAAAACCAAAATTTGCTGCTATGAGGCCAATTCCTCACACACATCGTCATAAGATACTTCCTTTTTCTGGATTTTCTGAGGCTGAGAGATACGATGGTGACCAAGGAAAGGTTAACTTGCCAGTAGTTCCTGTAAAGCAACCTGCTCCTGTTACACATCGGAAAGCATTGTCGAGTTCTTATCAGGCCCAGCAGATTATTTCTTTAAATCCATTACCTCTTAAGAAACATGGTTGTGGTAGAGCCCCTATACAGGTTTGCTCAGAGGTTAGTCATCTTCTCAGAGTTTGAGTTAAGAATTTGTGAATATTGTGTCCACGTGTGGGGTGAATTTACATAGTGTAGTGCTGGCTTATGATCTATGCTAAGATGCATATGCCTTTATGGATATTCTTGTCAACTTTACAAGGTTTTATCCACTCTAGCTGATAGGGCCTGCGATCCCTGGGTTGGGAATGGCACAGTGTGATTCTCTGATGTCAAAAAAATCTCATGCATGCCACAGGAATTAGGAAAATATATCTTAAATAAAGCTATACATTGCTGTCTGGTGTAATTGACTAGTGTGTGCTTAGAGATGAACTTGCACTATGATAATGAATTATTTAATGAAAAATGTGTTAGAATGGTCAGAATAAGCTTTGAATTTTTCTTCTCAATATGGTTTCTTTTTTGCTCTGCCCCTGTAATAATTTTGCTGGATCATTCTCTAGTTATTGCAGAAGATGACTACAATTATACATCTATTTTTGCCTTATATTCAAACTTCTTATTTATGTTATTCAGATATGCTAATCATTTGTGCTTAATAGTTTTTGTTCATGAGAGAGAAATTAAATTAAAAAAATTGTGGTCTTCTTCTCTGTTATAACTCTTTGTTGATTTACTTTTGTTCATCACCACAAAAAAAGATAGGTGTTCGGGTGAATCTTATCATGCAGCTAGAGAAGTAATTATTGAAGCTTGCATAATTTAGTATCTCTGCGAGTTTGTTCTTCTAATGTTTATGTTTCTCCTGTTGCTTTATATTCTGGCAGGAAGAATTTTTGAGAGATGTAATGCAGTTTCTGATTCTTCGGGGACATACTCGTCTCGTTCCTCAAGGTGGGTTAGCCGAGTTTCCTGATGCTATTCTGAATGCAAAACGTCTTGACCTTTTTAACTTGTATAGAGAGGTAAGCTATTCTTTGTGCTAAATATGACTGTAAATCTGGCAAAAAATGTGTATTAAAAGATGTCCCTTACAGGTGGTGTCAAGAGGAGGCTTTCATGTAGGGAATGGCATAAATTGGAAGGGTCAAGTTTTTTCGAAGATGCGCAATCACACAATGACAAATAGAATGACTGTATGTTTTCAAGTTGTTAGCCTTAAAGTTTTCCTTTGTGATAATACTTTTATTGATGTGAAAAGCATAACTTCAAAGATAGTTTGATGTTTTTGTAGAGCTTCACTAAAAATTCGAAATCCTCTTTCCTTTTGATCCTTAAGTTCTTCAAATGACATTTTGTGTTTTCCACTTTTATGTTTTTGTTGTATGTTGTTTCATTCTATTGAGTTCTAGCTTGTTGTCATAGAAACTTTCTAATGTCTCTACAACTTATTGGTTCTTTTTCCTATAATTACCTAGGGAGTGGGCAACACTCTGAAAAGACATTATGAGACTTACCTTCTAGAGTATGAATTAGCTCATGATGATGTAGATGGAGAATGCTGCCTGTTGTGTCACAGGTCTCTCTCTCTCTCTCATTCCCTTGTGTGCACACACATACACAGTGAGTTTGCACATCTACAGAACTATTTGCAGTACTGACACTGGAGAGTTTTTGTGTGGCAACAGTAGTGCTGCAGGTGACTGGGTAAACTGTGGAATTTGTGGCGAGTGGGCTCACTTTGGCTGTGATAGGCGGCAGGGGCTTGGAGCGTTTAAGGTATGCCTTCTCTAAATATTCTTGTCAAGAGATGAATGTCAATAGGCAAAAGGGATTTATAAATAGAAGCAGCATCAGTAACATAGCTATATGTTGTATCCTTTTGGATGAGATCTGCGGCAAGTAAAAAATATGTTTTATATGTCTTCAGGACTGAATACAAATATACAATAGCGGTGTCATTGTTTGCAATTTTGAGTTCTTTTTGCTTGGCTGATCTATTTGATTGGATTGCAATTAACTTGATATTTATCGTCTGAATGGCAGGATTATGCAAAAACAGATGGGCTGGAGTACGTTTGTCCACACTGTAGCATCTCAAATTTCAAGAAGAAACCCCAGAAAACTATGAATGGTTATTGACAAAGCTTTGATTCACTTTAGATTCCTCCCGACACTCCCTCCCCCTTCTTTTCCCAACTTAGAAGAAATATATCTCTTTTTGTTTTATTTTCTTTTTCTTTTTTTTCCTCAATATAATGCATGAGATAAGGCACCATGTTAGGAATGTAATTATTGTATTGTATCCCCATTGTTGTTCTCATATATATAGATCAGGCAATTAACGAGGCTCCCAATTTTTCCCCAATATTTTGTATTCTACAAAACAGAGATCAAGAAGAGTAACTGTAGAATGTATTCGTATTTTACTCAATTAAAGTAACGAGGTAGTTTTTTCCTAGTAGATTTTGCTCACGGTATGAAATGGTTGGATTTTTTTTTTCTCTGGTTGTTCTCTTCTACCAAGACAATTAGCACTTTGTCAACAATAATTATCAAACATTCTGTTTATTTGGGTTGGGTTGTGTTGACTATTGGTTGGATACGAAAGCTCTCATGTTGTTTTTGGGGAATTCAGAGGATCTTGAATTCAAATTCAGGTAGACGAAGTCCATAGTGACATGGAGGCGATACCAGCCAAGATGGAACATGCAGACATAGGAGATAGCGAAAGAAGCCTCAGCTCTACTTGGGGTTTTAGATGGCTAGGTTAGGTTTGGCTAGCTCATAGCAACAGAAGAGGTCGAGATAAACGGATGCATGGCGACCTAATGGATTTCTGAAGTAAAGCAGAAGGTTTGTATCAACAAACGATGAAGCAATTTTTTTTAATAAAATAATTGACTGAACATATAAATCTGCATGTTCTTACATTCACCAATGAGATCAGCATTATATGTCCATGCTTTGTACATATTTGCAAACACAACTCTCTCATACTGCTTGTCATGCCAAGATATAAGAGGGAAAAAGAGAAGGCAAAACATGTGGATAAAACACATGGAGAGTTTGGCAGTTTAAAATATTAAGTATATATATTTTTAGTTAATTGACGTTTTAGTGTTCAAGCCCACCGTTTACAGTTTAGGATTCAGTCATTTTGCAGTGCACAGAGTGTTCACTTCCTCTTGTTTGAAGGTGCCATTGCAACCATTGGCCATAATACCAGCACTGATCTTTCCAATCATAAAATTACCATCAGAGGTCATGGGATGAATCCCATCACCAGACAAGCTGCCACTGCTGCTACTGCTGCTGCTGCTGCTGCTGCTGCTGCTGCAGTTGCAGTTTTGAACATGACCATTGCTGCTGCAGGTGTTGTGAATAATATCATTGTTTTTAGGAATGTTGGTGAATCCAAATTTCTTCCTCTCCTCAGAAGCAGGAGCTGATGATGACGACGTCTTTCCATTGGAGATGGCAGCAGCGAGTGCAATCGGCATAAGGCAGAGACCTTTACTTTGTAGATATTGCATGGCCATTGTCACATTGGATTCCATGAGCTTCACCACTTCTTGTTCGATAACAACTTGATCAGGAGATGGTGACAAATCAACTCCATGACCCACCAAGGGTGTAAGTGATAAACCCTTAGATCCCTGACAGAACAGAATTTAGCCAAACTGTTAATAGCTAACAATAGAACTTTTAACTTTGTGATACGAATGTTCAGGAATTAGAACAATGTTTCTTTCTAAATTCTATAAAATGATCTCTAGGTTAATATAATCTTGACATAAGAAAAGTTGATGTAGTCCAAGCGCCCTTGGTTGGTTTGCAAGATATTCTTACTTCAATATAATCGGGGAATTTCTATGTTTTAGTGCTACTGGAGCAGCAGCCGTTGATAAGATAGGACCTATGAGTTATCCTACCGGGATCTAGTACCAAGATACTTTGACCCACAAATAAGAAGAACGACCTGACAGCATTTGGGTAGGGTTTGCTTACAGATCACTCCCTTTAAACTCTATAATCATCTTTTAAGTTGTAACAAAAAGATGCAGAAACACCAATTAATTTCTTGACCTCACAATAAGGGACAAAGAGTGCATCAACTTAAAGAAGCAAGAATTTGGCACCTCTGCTTGACCATCAGTGATGAGAGGAACAACTGCTCCTGCTGCCCCCAGCCTGCTCATGCTAAGTACCTGCAAATAGTTTTCAGAAGCACCAAATTAACGGATGGTAGCCGAAATACTGTTAAAATTTTTTATGGTTCTGATTAATTTTTGTCTATCTTGGGGCAAAAAGAAAATTGAGAGAAACATTGAGAAAACTTAAAATCAATTCAGTTTGAGTTCAATTTCTCAAGGTGTTTGAAATTAACAAAAACTTAGTATTACCTTGACTTGGAGTTGAAGAAATTTGACATACTCTATGATTTCATCAAGCATAGAGGCCTTGTCAGTCTGCAATGTTCATTAAAGAACAATTATTAGTCGGTAATATTAATCAGCTATTCAGTGTGCTTTTAAGGCACAGATTGCGTAAAGGCGAAATTTACGTGAAACTTTACTATCCTCTTCCCTATTATCTGCAGAATGATGAGCAATCTTCATCTTTCCTTTATATGGTACTTGACCTTTGCTTAATTGAATGGGGGTAAAAACTGTAGAAATTATGCATGCAGTCCATATATTCTTGCCAAGATATTTTATGCAATTTTAAAAGTAAAACAAACACAAACAGCCATCCAGAATGTTGACCGTAAAACAACCAGGACATGTACTTGAAAACAAAACCGATGTACTTCAGTTAGGTTTTCATGACCATAGCAAAATACATCCGGAAGAGAACCTTATTGGACTTAGGTACTAGCTCTTGCAGATTCTTCATCCTTTCAGCAATCTTCTCTCTTCGAAGCTGCAATTGAGCAAATAATTGAATAAGCTCTAATCTCAAAAACAACTCAAGGATATGAACTTAGATGACAGGAAGTATTACAACTGACCCTCTCTGCAATGCTGTGGGGATCAGTGGCCTGACCTCGACGTGCTCTTGCTCGAGGCTTCCCAATTCCATTGCAACCACTGTTTGGAGTAGGTGATGCACTCTGTATTAAAATGATGAGAATTAGGGACCATAAATCAATTCCAGAGAAAATTGAGACCACTACAAGTACCTGCAGCAGAGAAGGCAAGCCAATCGTAGTCTTTGTTATCTGGTGGTCAGCAGGAAAAGAAGAGCAAAGAGAATTTTGCATATCTTGTTTTCCCTGATCCATTACAAAAGCAACAAAAGAGAATTCAAAACTTAAGCTTCTCAGACGATGCAGGCTTTGGCTTTACACCATAACTGGTAAAGCCGGAGAATCCAATTAATGGGGCCTCCACAAGCCAGTTAAATTTACTTTCATGAATAGCAGATGTTTTCTAAAGCCCGTCTAGCAGCAGAATTAAACGAATCATACGAATCGTAATTTGAAATTAGTACCTTTGGATTGATTGATGCGGATAAGTTCTCAGGTTGCAGAATTTTATCAATCTCAACAAAAAATCTGTTAATATTGCCTTCTTCATCGACATTTCCATTTTCTCCTTGAAGACGAGAGCTTTGCATTCTGGTTTGTCCCATCAAAGTGGGAATGGAAGAAACGCCATCATAAGGTTGTGGGTGCCATACTTGTGGAATTGGAGAAAGAGTTTCCAAGCCTGTAAGTGATCTCCGAAACTCAGAAGATTCTCCTCCATTGCATAATATATGCCCTCTCTCGTTAAACGATAGAGATGGGGTCATATCACCAACAACCGGAAGATCGTTTGAAGAACCAAGGTTCAGTGAACCAGAGGAAAGAACAGCTGTATTAAATTGCAGTCCCAGGTTTCCAAATCCTAAGCTTCCATTCAGCATCTCTTTTGAGGAGTTACCGCTGCAATTTTCGCCAACCATTTGTGGTCCACCTTCTCCAGACATCAAACCATGTTCAACACCACATCCTGACTCTCCACTAGGAACTAGAGAGGGAGTATTATGTGCAGCTAAACACTCCAGGCTGTGGTTCGAGCTAATCATGCTTACAGAAGAACTATTTTTATCATCTCGATATACTCCAAGTGAACTAGGCAACAGTGCATTTGACTGATCAGATTCGCATTGAACCCAAGATGATCTTTCCTTAACATTCACATCTGACAATGATGAGGAGGAGAAAAACTGATCAAGATAGTCATCCATTGTCTATATTCACAGCTGACAGCTTACAAGCTAAAACTCTCAACTCCAAATTACTCAAGAATTTCACTTATATTTTGTTGCTTTGCATTCGATGATGAAGAAACTGCGGAGCTCTTTATATATATTCAAGTACTTCAGTATTTGGCCTGGAGAAGACATTCATGAGATATAACATTAATTAGTAATGAAGCTATTTTCAAAGTGTCAATCCTTATATCATCCATTTGGAAAATGTACAATATACAGCACATGGCATAGAAAATTGATAGAATGAGATGTGCCAAATGATTTATATTAGAACCAAAGTAACAAAAATATTCCTAAAAAAGAAGTGAAAAAAAATACATAAAATTCAGCAAGAAAATCAAAATTAAAACAGTAAAAGAAAATGCTGTAACAGTTCAATATACCTTTTATCATTTTTTCAAAAAAAAAAAAAAAACAGTACAACAACTCTATGCAGACAAAGCCTTGGTAAACCTCAAAGTCAGCCACCCCATCTGATAGCTTAGAGTACTTACCCGTTTACCACAGAAAGAGCCAAACACTCGATTCCCCAGAAAAACCTTATACACAGTCGTCATAACTCATAACAACAGCTCTTCATATGATCATCTAAACCTGTTTTCAGACACCCAACTCCAACATGCAAACTGGGTTCCCAAGTTGGTAATAACTTACAAGACAAAAACACATAAATATTTGACCAAAGTTTCAGAAAAAAAGACCAAAGAACAAAAGACTTACAAAGTAGGTGAGTGTCAGCAGTGGAAAGCATAAGCCATTATTTTCATTTTTACTTTGCTTTCTTTCTTAGCATCCAAACAAGAGACTGTAGCGCAGCTGTGCTACAAACAAAGAAAGAAAGAATGAAAAGATGTTTAGCTTTTGACGTAGAAACCGCTCCCTTCTTTTTCTCTTTTCATTTACTCATTTTCGTTCTAGTATCTTATAATTTGTTTTTACTTATTCTAGTGTCGTGTATGAGTTTGATTCGTCCACGTCACCAATATTCTGTCCGTTCCGTTACTTTATCCTTTTCTTTAAAAACATTAAGTTTAAATACGATAAACGTTCCACTCCGCTTTTCAATATGCCGTCACAATAGCTCATGTTCGGGAGCTGATCATTTTACGAAATTAACCTTGAAAGAAGGCAACTCATTGGATTAATTCTCAACAAATTAGGTGCACTTTCGTCATTTTAGTCAAGAGAAGTTTCCATCCATCCCTAAAAAGGCGGAGAGGTTAAGCTCCGTGGAACTTAAGGGCCGACTCTTTTAATTACGAAAATAACCTCTAAAGTCTTTATATTTATATATTAAAATTAACAATTAAAAATTATTAAAAGAGTTTATATAAATAATATTTTTTCAATAAGATAAATATAAAAATAAAATGTTCAAAGATAAATTAAAAATTAAAAAATAAAAATTTGTGATAATTAAAAAAATTGCAAGTACTAAAGATTGAATAAAATTTATATTTAAAAAAAAGTATATGAATCATTTGAATTAAATTTAAATTTAATAACCTCTAAATTCTAATATTTATTTATTTTTAGTGTAAGTTGAGTTTAATTGATTTCTTGAAAGATTTGTTTTTGTCAAATTTAGTAGACAAAGCCAAAACTAAAAAAGGGTAATGGATTTACTGAATTTAGGACTTTATTTTTGAGTGTAAGAAAAAAACAATAGTTAAAATGGTTGATTGCTTTTGCAGCTTAAGGCTAAAGCTTTTGAGGCACATCATTTCATCTTACCTATCTTTGAATCAATTATTAATCCTTTTTCTCATGTGTGGTTAACATCATCATAAAAGCCGTGTTACAAGCGTATCACGACAAAGAAAACAACAAAAAACTCTACAGGAACAATGGAAATAAAAATCCTTGGTGCAATCAGATGCCTTGCTAGAAGAAAACATGGTTTAGGATTAACAGAGCCATAGATATTTTAGATTTGAAGTTCGGTCTGTTTCAGGCTTTGAGGGCATCAATTTGATTTTTTTTTTTTTTTTTTTACATGTGGGATAAGTAAGAATAGTTATGGGGTATCAATTGATGGAATTGCCAAACTAGGAGAGTACTGATTCAACATTTTGTGGAAAGTTGATATTTTCAAGAGGCTCTCGAGCTACTCTATTCACTGATTCCATTCCATCTGAGCTTAATTTGTTCCTGGGAACTTTAAACAAGTTGTCTCTAATTTAGATGAGTAATGAATTCTTATCATCCACACTCTTTGCTTTTCTTCAGGACATGAACAAATTCTATTTTTAAAGAGAGAGCAAAGTCCCTAAAAGAATGAAGTAATAATATCTCACTTCTAAAGGATTGCTTGTGCATTGATCATGCATCATTACTATAGATCTATTTTTGGCCTTCAGTTGTAGCCAACTTCATAAAGGAGCTCCATGATTTAGGTGTTAGCCGTTAAATCCTGGTAGCTATTTCACAGTCATGACAGGATGGTAGGTTGCTTTTCATCTGGCATGGTAACTTAGTTACATGGTTAAGCAAATTATTTTTTTAATCCTAAAAAATGTTTGATCTCTTACAAAGTTTTTTCTTTTATACTAAAAAATGCAAAAAGAAAAAAGAAAAACCATGCATCTTTCTGAATAATTAAGAAATAGAAATCATTGCTAGAAAATGTACACGTGTCTCTTGCATAATTAATATAACTAAGAGAATTCTCTGTAGAAGGAAGCATATAAATGCATCCCAGGAAGTTTAACGTTTACAGTTATGGCAAAAATGGTAACTATCCACTCGGGTTGTTCCACAGTCGTAGCAGAAAGCAGTTCCACACCTGTTAGCATACACAAAAGAAGTTAGCCAGCATATTCATGCTTATTAAGAGCCCAACGTCACAATCTAAAAGGTTCTCAGCGGCATAGGCAAGTAATAAAAAGACGCAACTGCAGGAGATCAAAGGTGCTAAATCAGCTGAATGTATAACTTGATAAATCGACTTAATTTGAAAATTAAAATTCAATCCAATGTAAAATATAAAATATCAGCATTGCACTAATTTGTAGCTTTCTCTCCAAGGAATTGGATTGAAAACCAAAAGACTGATGAGATCTATCATTCACCTCAAAGGCAGCTAGAAGATATTAACAGATTATGATTACCATGACGATCAGAATAACAAAGAAGCATGCTATCAGAACACTTATTGATGAATGTAGGAAAGATTTGGCATCCAATTTTCACTTTGTCAAGATTTAAAGCTTGTTATATAATACCATAGCTGTATGCTTCTTAAACTTTCAATATCTTAAACAATATCCTAATAACTAAGAACATATTGAATTTGCTTGATGGCTACACTGTCATTCATATTGCCAAGATGTATTGTGTTGACAGACAAACAAGCTTAGAATTGTCCGTATGCTGACAGAAATACCATAAGATTTAGCTGAGGGTATAACTTAAATTCTGACTATGCTCTAATGATTTGGACATTTGGGGGTAAGAGGACTGTGCATTAAGCTTACACGCTCAAGGTGGTAGGGGTAAGTGGATTACAATTGATCGAGGGAGAAGAACAAGAATGTCACGCATTGTCAGTGCTTTAGATTGAAGTACTCTGCTTTTTGAGATTCTGATGAAAATTATTCTCTATGTCAAATTGCCTTCATAAGTCAACAAAAACAATGAATGATGTTGAACAATCATTGATAGTGGGATTCAAGGGCAACAAGGAACAGATTCTTTTGTTGAAAAATGGCAAAGCAATACAGAACTATAAAACAGTTCATTTTCAAAAAGTATAAAACTCAAACACAAAGATACATTAAACAGAATTAAAATTCCCCATTCAAACAGTAGCAACCAACACAGAACTAAGACAATGACCAATGCTGTAGCAAAGTAAACCAAATATAAGCCACAATACTGATAGAACGTAAATGAAGGGGAAAACTGAAAAGGAAAAACTAACCTGCATCTCATAAGCCTACAACCCTCGGTTCTCTCAACAACGAATCTACACTTTGGGCATCTGGACCACTTCTTGTCCTTAGCTAGCTTCATCAACATAATATCTTCCCTCTCTCTTTCATCTTTATCCAACCCCTGAAATTCCCCACATTCAATCCCAGCATGCCAAGGAACTTTACACTGTGCACAAAACAGTCTCCTACAATTGGGACATTCTGATTCCTTTACAACCTGTCCTCCATCATCAATCAAAAGCATGGAACAATCTTTAAAAGGACAATAAAACCTTTCTGACCCTAAAATGATTGCCTCACATAAAGCATCTCCCCACCTATCAAAAACTTCTCTTGGAAGTATATTGCGACAGTACTGAGGTTCCAACAAACCCTCACAGTTTCCTACGGGACAACTTATGGCTGTAATCTTGTCTTGTAGTTTTGAAGCTACATATTTGATCATGCAAACCGTACAGTAAGCGTGAGAGCAACCTTTGATGTTAAATGACTCGTTTGCTTGCTTTGGTTCAACGCAGATTTCACAGATAAACGACGCGTCTTGGACCTCTTGGTTCTTTTTGGTGTTTGATGACTCTCCAGGTTCGATTAAGGAGAGAACAGTGAAGGAATTCTTGGTTTTTTCACGCTTCTTCCCCAAAGGAGTCTTCGGGGGCTCGAAATTAAGCACGAACAAATCATCATCGTAGTTGTCGAGATCGATGAAGTTACTATTCGAGGTTGTCGGGAAAACCTTGGTGGCAAGTTGGTGGTTCCTTTTATCACTGTACTGCTCAACTGAGATTGCACTTTTCTTGGTAGTGCCTTTGCCTTTAATGGGTGGAAAACAAAACAAATCGCTTTCAAGGTCAATGATCTCAACCCGCCGAGGAAAATCTAATCCCTCCATTTTCCGCTTCTTAACTGATTTTTCTTCATCAACTGGAGTAATGGTTACCATGGTGAAAATATATAGGAGATTTCTTGAATTTGAACCCTCTTATTTTTTTTTAGGGAGGTGATTTCTTGGCTTTTGGGTTTCACTTAGCACTACGGTTTTTTCGAATTCACCCAAACTCTTTGATTACCTTTTTAATTTCGAACGGTCGAATAAATATTGTGGAATATTTGGATTAGGTTTCGTTTCCGTACCTCGTTTGGAAATTTGGCTAATTAATTATTGCTTAAGTACCAACCTGGCCAAAAAGAATTAGTACCAAAGTATATTACAAAGAAATTATTATTTTGTATTTTAAATAATATCATAATAAAAGAACATTTATACTCACAATGACACAAATCATTCATTATTACATATAATCATTTTTAAAAAAATAACATATTAAATATAAAATATTTTCTTAAATAATAATTTAATCGTTCTTGATATAAGTACTTATAAACATCAATAATCCAAAATTTTTTAAACGGAACCTAGACTGTTATTTTAAGAAATTCCAATTTTATTTCAAAAAAGAAAATTTTAAATTAATTTATTGATCTCTTCATATTCCATTAGGGGCACTGTTATATAATAAAATGAGAAATGCATTAAATAAAAGAATAATTAATTCCTTGAAATAATAAAAAAATTATTTAGGTTTACTTTAAAAAAAAAAAGAAAAGAAAAGGGTAAATAAAGAGATATTTTTCCTAAGCAAAGATATTATATTATATATATTTTGCAAAATTAGATGGCAATTATTGTGATCAGTGATTGTATATAAGCTTACCATTTTGATAACTAGTACTATTCTAATTTTGAGGAATATGGGTGGATGTGTTATTGTCAAAGATATTTTTATTTTTTAGTTTTATGTAATAATAAGTATAATTAAATGAGAAATAATTCTGCAGGAAGTTTTCTCCATTCATTTTTAATTTTTCGTATTCTCAATGTTGATCAAATTTTCTTTTCACTCTTAAAAAGAAAACAAACTAAATATAAATATTCTTAGTTATAATCTACAGGGATCAAATTAATTTTGACAACTTCAAATATAAAAAAAAAAAAGAAGGGTAAATGAAGATATAGTTTTCACACAATAACCATAATAACAATCTTATCAGATGGTTAATGAGATCCCGTGAAAGACTAAAACATTTGTTAGACACTTCTCTGATAGTTTGTTGTAGTACTATGATAAATTTCTTTAGTTTTGCAATGCATATATATAGTTTGTTATAGCTTCTCGGCATTTCCTTTGGCTCAATGAAGAAACTCCAATACGTTTGAAGCATTGTGTTCATTGTTGCGTCTCTACTTGCTTTTTCCCCATAATTAATTAGCTCCGGCACTTGCACTTAAGTTGTTTCGATTCTGGTTTTAATTGATTTCTGTTTCTGAAAACTTTCATGTTCAACATTCTATAAAAAAAATGACTTGAAAGTTTAAACTGATATGCTCTTCAAACTCAACGGATAAGTAAAATGCAATCAATGAAATTCAGAATTTTAGATCACAGAAAGTAGAGAGAAATTCGACTATTGTTCTCTCCATTGAAATGGGCAGTAGCAGCAGCAAATGTCCTGTGATGCTACTTTCTCAACATCGCCTACAATTATTACAACTCTTCACATAAAATAAAACCAACAAGAAAATTAGAAAAACTTCTGAAGTGAAGCACTGTAGTTGTTGGTCAAGAACTAATGATAGCATTCGGAGCAAAAATGGGTAACACGGTTTGATTTTGCTCCACAATTGTAACAGAAGGCATTTCCACACCTGGATATCATTCAGAAAAGAAAATAATTGAGGGTGGATTATTGCAGTGATTACAAAGTAATCTGACATGTCAAAATCATACAAAAATACTGCCTTGAACTTGACTAAACATCCATGGAACTAAATGATTCAACTGCACTAGCCAAAGAAACCTCATATAAGTATATGATGTCATGGGAAGAGTAAAAGATCGATTCGTGGCATAATTACTTGGTTTCTAGCTTGAATGCAAAACTGAATAAGAAATTTACTAATTAATCCAACTCCCCTAATACAATTTAGCAATTGGGATTTAGCCAATCACAAAGCAATTACTGTTTTACTTCACATTCATTTATAGGAATAACAAGTGGCATCAAAGTTATAAAACCCAACAATCACATGTTAATAAAGGTATGAAAGTTGTATAATGGAACATAAATTTCACAGATAAAATAACCCATTCTAATCTATAACGATGATATAAAATTGAACTAATTCACTGACCTGCATTTGACATAATAGCAACCAGCTGATTTTTCCACATAATAATTGCATTTAGGGCACTGCCTCCACTTCTTCCTCTTAGCCAGATCAACCAACATAGCATCTGAGCCAAGCTTTTTCAGTTTCTGAAACTTTGCGCAATCCACACCTGAATGCCAAGCAACCTTGCACTGCACGCAAAACACTCTCTTGCAAAAGGGACATCGGAAATTCTTAGTAGCATTTTTCCCATCATTAATCAACAAAGCTGAGCAATCTTTATAGGGACAGTAGATTTTTTCAGAGCCAAGAAAAGCAGATTCACAAAGGGCTTTTCCCCACCTGTTAAACAAATCCCTTGGGAGGATATCACGGCAAAAGTCAGGCTCCAAAAGCCCTTGACAATTTGTTACAGGACATGGAATCCGGGTTACGTTATCATCAAGCTTCGACTCGATGTACTTGACAGTGCATCCAATACAGTAAAAATGGGCACAACCTTTGACGTTGAAAGAGATATCTAGGGGCCTTGGCTCAACACAGATTTCGCAGACATAAGTTGGGCTAGTGTCATCGTGAGTTTCAGAACTCAAGGAGGAGAAGTTGTGTTCCATCTCAAGATCTTCTGAGGGAGTGAAGTAGTAATTCACTTCTTCCTCCACATTACTGGATGGGGTTTCAACCGATTTTTTGCATTTAACATTGTTCAGAAACTTGCCCATTTTGTTGCCCATGTTTCTTGATTTCTTACTATAAGAAATCCGAAGAGCTGCCAACTTTGATTTGAGACTGATTCTTTGTTGAATGTGATGGCTGAAGTACTTCTGAAAGAAACCCATGACGTCTGGTTTCTCAGCTGAATCAATAGACCAAAGAGAGGAAAAGAGAATAGTAGAAGAGAACACAACCCTAATATATATATATATATATATATATATATATCTACATATGTATATTTTGATATAGACAAAGATATTCAAGGGATTTGTGTGTATACGTGTAAATATATTGTGAAAGATTTTAATAATTCAAAGAAGTGAAAGATTTCAGGAATAAATTGTGAAAGATTTTTTTGGCCAAAAACAAATTTATGAAAGATTTCATTAGCTTGCTTTGTAAGTAATAATTTTTTTCTTTACTCTGGGTAAATTTATGAAAGATTTCAATCAAATTTAATTACATATGTATCTTTTTCATAATTTTACAAATGTTAAATTTCAAAATAAGGTGAAATTTGATTTTTTTTCTAGAGTTTAATGTTTGAGTTTGAAGTATTAAATATAGAATTTTTTTGATTTATTGAACTTCGTCCATTAAATTAATAAACTAGTTTTACCTAATTCCTAAGAAGAAAAATAATTGCTCTTTTGGAATATGATAAAGGTTTACTTGTACATTAGTTCACAGGTTAGGTCTTAGATAAGATTTTTTTTTAAATCTAGAATTGGCTTGACATGATAATGATTTATTAGAACATTTATTATTATTATATTTTAATATTTAAATTAAATTGGCCCCAAAGGGCATTATAGGTGGGTCAAGCAAAACCTTGGGTCCTTGATAAATTTTTTTTTTAATGTATATTTAATTCATGAATACCTCTAATTTATATAAGTGTAAAACTCATTTAATTTGATAATAAAATATATTAAAAACTATTAATATTCTCGAAATGAAAAAAAAATTATATTGACTTGAAACTTACTTGCATAACAAGTATGAATTAATTGTTAAATCATTTGATTTGCGAAAATATTAATGATATATAGACTTATAAAAAAAATGTAAAACAAACTAATTTTTCATTGATGAAACTTTTTTATCCTCACGTATATGTAATGGCACATATCCATTTGTAGCCTCAAAACTAGTCCTCCATGCTAAATCCATTTAAATGCTTGAAATATTAGTAAATTGTGAAATGTAATACAGAGAATATTAATAATTTATAGAAATAATAATGATAATTCAACAATTAAAAGATAATGATTTGTTTAGAAGTAATTTAAGTAAATCTTAACTCTGTCACAAAATTTATTAGAAATAAAATATAAAATAATAAAAAATGAGGAAATATAAAGCAGTTTGAGATTATAAAAAAATGTTCAATTAACACAACCAAATCAAAGTTATAAAAAGAAAAGACAACAAACAAAAGGGAAAACGGAACTATCACAAACAATTACTTGAAGTATTCTGAAAGGGCTAAAACATCTAACTTGGATAAACGAAGCCACGAAAAGGTAACTAATTAAGGATTGATGTTGCCAGATACCAAGTTATGAATCCCTGGCCAGAGATTAACGGTTGTTGCTATTGTCGACGAGGCTGCATTGAGTAAGGATTTGAGGAACCTGGTTGCTGTTGGGGAAGAGGCTGCGCTACAGAAACAGACTGGGGACGAGGGTGCACTGCGCTGAAGGCTCGGTTCGAGGCAGCTCTACGTGCTGGGGACGAGACTGTGGTACGTAAGCAGGCGGGACTACTGGAACAACTGGTGTGGAACCTGGTTGCTGTTGGACGAAGCTGCACTGCTTAAGCAGTCGGTGCTTGATCATGCTGAAAAGTCCGCAATTACTCATAAACATCCGAGGCCATCTCTGTTAAAAACATATTTTTAAAAGAAATAATGCCATTTTATGCTTTCTCAAGCAGGAAAGGGCGAGGAACCGCCATTAAATAGGTCTTACATAAAAGATATGATCAATAAGTAACTTACATACTTTGATTAAATACATTACTTTAAATCACAGATTTAATATATGACGATACTTAAATATTAACTAAATATATACAACTTTTTTGAAGAAGATATCCACATTATAGAAATAAGTTTAAATACTTAAATTATTGAAAAAAATAATGATTTTATGCTATTAACATTTTACCATACTTCAATGTTGGAGATGTTTATGAACTAGTTGGTATTTCAAACATAGATTTATAGCAAGTATGTTAGGCATGTTTATTTTACATTTTTAAATAAATTTTTGACTGTTTCAATGTAAATTAAATATTAAAACAAAAGATTGCAATAACAACCGGACGTTATTTTATAATATATATAAATATTTACAAATTCTATTACATACAAAAAGTAACTATATATAATTACCTTTGGAATTTGAAATAATAATTCCATGTTTCCTTTTTATGATAATAATTTATGTTAAAATTAAGAAGATCCATGTAAATGAATCCCTTTCCAAATATATATTATTCCTATATATCCAATTTTTTGTTAAAAAAAAAAAGAAAAACCTTAAAATATTTTATATAAATAAGAATAGCGATATCAATATATATTGCAATTACTAGCATCATCATAAGAGATAAAGGGTAGAGGCTATTGCTTGATAAAATTCGTAAAGACAAATCCAACACGGTAAAACTGCTTTTTTTTTTTGCCCGCCCTTACATTAATTAATTCTTGCCATTGTTGAATTTTATCAGAACTTCTTAGTTGTAACCAAGATCGGTCCTTGGCTTTTGGGTTAGGTTAAATTAACTCTATATGGAGATTTGAAGGTTCAAGGGCTGCATTGGCTACGGAAAATAAAGATAAGCAGCTAAACCTTTGTTCCCTTTCTCGCTATACAAATTATTGAATCAAGCACACAGAACACAAAAGTTATCACAAATTTCCCTACATAAAAATACACAAGAATAAGAAATATTTACATGGTAATTGACTGGTCTGTTTGATAAATGTAGATGCATATTTGACCCAATGCGAAATTTGGCTTAGAAAATGTAGATGCATATTTGCACCATGTAGTCGAGTTGTTGCTTGTTTCACAAGGTGCAGCAAGATATTGTACCCAAATGGTGCTGGAACTAAGAATGTAGGCTAGAGTAGAGCTCATCCAGAGCAACATACAAGGGCTCAGCAGCCCTTGGTCTGTCCACGGCACCAAGTAATATGTCAGCAGTGGTGACATAAGGATCACCATAGAACTGTAGGTTGGTATCCATTCTTGTTGCAACAATGTTCCCTTCCAATGACACACCAACAAAAGCCCCTGCAAATTTTGCAGCAAAATGGATTGTCAAAAAATCCACAAACTAGTCAATCAAAGAGTATACGTACATTGCAGGATGGAATACCTTTGCTACAACTGTAAGTGTAGCACATGCCAGAGCCTCTATCCCCCACCCGAAGATCTGCTTCCAGCACTCTCCCCATGGGTCCTGCAGCAGCACTGCAGCCAGCACCAAGAGAAAAATGCATTCGACTGCAAAATGTCTTCACGGCTTTTGAATCATGAAGCACAATTACGAAATCCATGAGTTCACCTCCAATCTAAGAAACACATAAAAGTATCATATAAAAACTTTGAAACTTGAAAGGCAGTGGATCCTTAGCTGTCTAGATGTGTATATTCTGCTTGGACAGGTATACATTTTTATCAGTTGAAAGTTTACCTGAGCACCCCAACCTAAACCAACAGAGAATATAGCTGATGGTGCAGACCATGTTCCATCTGACCTTCGAGCAATAACAAGACCAGTCCCAAGTTTGTAAGCAACAAGAACTCCAGCTTTAACAACAGTTAAAATAGCTAAGCCTTTGGCTCCTTTCAGAACTGCCAGTGGTATAGATCTCTCTGGATTCAACCTAGCAACCTGTCAATTTCAACAATGGTTATCAGAAGCTTCTAGCAGTGTCAAAATATAGTCATCATGTAGCTCCAACATACAAGAAATTAGCTTTATTTTTTAAGCTGAAGCACCGGCTAAAGAAATGGCATGTGTTCTGGTGATTTCTTGAAGCAAAATCATTCACATGAAAGCTTAATCTAGTTGGGATTTAGAACCTAGACTGTCTAATAAGAATTACACGGGGAATGGGGAGGAAAGCACAAGGTTGATGAAAGTTTTAGACAAACAAAACTATTGTATTGTATGAATTAAAAAATTAGGATCATACCTGGCAATAGCTTCTCAGGGTATTTGATGCTTTGTAGATCTCATGTTCCATGGACAAACCAACCGGCAAGTTCAACCAACCTCGAGTACATGTCCAATCCATGACGTCATGTTTTGCTACTTGCACGGCATTGCTAATGGTGTTAATAAGAACACCCTGCAACGGATCAAGCCTATCATAGCAAGAATCACACACCCTTTGGGGATTTCTTTCCCTAAATTTAACAGGTAGCAAGCACCTTCCCTTAGAACATGCTCTGCAGAAAATCCCTCCACAAAATCGGCAATGATGTCTGCCACGTGTAATTGCAGTAAAGGGAGCACTGCACTGCATGCAAACTGTAGTAGAACTATCTGGAAGCCACTCCGGAGGCTCGGCTTCCAACACCTCTTTATATGCATTATAATTTATCCCACTTGGCTCCAGAAGTGGCGGGGCACTTGGTATATAAACAGAGGAGTGCAAATAGGTATCTCCATTCTTTCCGGACCCCAGAAATGAAACATTAGAACTTTGGTTCTGCTGATTTACAGAAACACTCAGGGAGCCTTTATTACGCCCAGTTATGATTGCAAATAACCCACTCAACACATTCTTCAAGTTCACCTCTGGTTGCAAGCCATTCCGCATTGACTTACAGACATCATCACCCAAATCATATCCACCATCAATAAAATCATCGGATTCATCCGAAAACTGATAAAGATAATCTTTTTTCATCGACTTTGAGCCCAATGGGACAATACTTTTGTCTTGTGGCACATTCCAAACAGAATCACCATAATTATCATCAAATTGATACGCGTTATTTTTCTCCTTTTCAAGCTTTGAAAGCGACGAATACGAAACCCTACCCTCAAAGCTTGCCATGCAACCACACCACCAAGAAGTTGATTCCCAAATTCAAAAATCAATTTCACTGCAATTCAAGAATTGATGCCCGTCTTATCCGCCTATTAAAAACCCTAAATAACAAATAATTGCAAGTTTTTGGTAAATTATGTCACCAAATAAATATACTTCATAAACAAAAAACAGAGAACACTATTTTTTTTCTTTTCCTATGCCATAATTCAAACGGAATTGATTCACAAAATCAAAATAAAATATCAGTGCTTCGAATTAGGGTTTCACGATGTTGACTTTTAATCCTAATTTATTGTTTGAACGCGGAAAATAAAAACAGAAATTGGGATAAAAATCGTACCTTTTTTAAATGCATAAGGGGATTACGGTATCCGATTGCAATCCTCATTTCGAATCCTTTAACCCTTAACCCTTAATGATATAAACGAAAAGGAGGAAAGAGGGTTTTCTCGTGTCGTTTTTTGCTTCTGGTGTAAGTCGTTCGAGGATAGAAGAAAGAATACAAACGGCCAATGCACGAAATCTCACGGAATAAAATCAACTAAAATAAAATAAAATAAAAAGGGAAATTATGACAAAATAAAATTCTATGGGCTAGCACTTGCGTCAGGCCCATAAATTAGGTCGGTTTGGGTCTGGGATTGGGCTGAACAAAGCCTTCCCTTTCACAAACATGGAGTAAAAAAATAAGAAAAGGAAAATAATAATAAAAAAAAGGGTAAGGAAATTTGATTCTCGCAGAAATCGAAGATTCAGGAATTAATGTGTAGTTGATAACAAGTGTGGGGAAGTTTAAGGTTGTCTTTTTCGGGTGTTGGGATTTGGCTTCTTTTTGAAAACGTTGATCAAATGGAGACTGACAGGTATTAATACCATTCATCTTTAGTTCCCTATAATTGTTGCAATAAAAAGAAGGTTTTTTTATTTTTTTTATTGTGCAAATTATTTTGTGTCAGGTTGAATTCTCCAAGTACATCCTTAATTAGTTTTGAAGTATTGGGTCATCAACTACAGTTCTCCCAGGTAATTTTTCATCATATCTCTTTAGAGGTTGCATGATCAGTCAAATTATTTACTTTTTTTTTTTTTGAGATGGTAATTTTTGTTAGTACAATTTATCTCTAAAGATGATGGAATGATTCTATACTTGAAGCTAATATCCAATTGGGATATAATGCTAGAGACAAAAAGTTCCCCTGGATTTACTGGAGAGGCTGGGGAAGAAATTATTGTTTGAGTTTTTGTGTATCAGTCATGGATCTTCGTGCTTGTTTATTCTGTGATTCAGTTATGGAGAATCACTGAATGGTGCAGTTTTTTTTTTTTTTTTCTTTTTCAAGGCTTATATTTGTAGTTTTTAGCCTAACCTCCTCAAATTTCCCCCATTTTGGCAGGACCCTAACTCCAAACATTTAGGAACAACGGTTTGGGACACATCAATGGTGTTTGCCAAATTTCTGGTATTTGTTTTGATCCCTTTTCATGTCTCTTTAACTATGTCGCTGACACTCAAGTTGTTGATGTTGAGCCCTTTGTTTGAATAGAGTTTATGTTGACAACCTGTCAAGGATTAAACTCTGGTTACTAGAATTAAGAGTCCAACACTCTAATTTTAGACTACAAAATAATAATCTACGACTTCATAAGACTTAAATGGTTAGTTAACAGATAAAATACTGTGACCTGTGATCAAAACCCCATTGCATATTCTTTAGTCTTACTACTTACTTGCGTTTGAGCAGGGGCAAGACTTTTCTTTCATTTATTTTTATTGAACTTGAAGGCCTCAGGTTTTTTTTTTTGTCTGACAAATTTTTTTTTTGTCGAAGTTAAGATGTTGAATTCGTTCATTGTTTCAGGAAAAGAATTGCAGAAAGGGAAGATTTTGCCCATCCAAACTTAAAAGAAGGCGTGTTATTGAACTTGGAGCTGGTTGTGGAGTAGCTGGGTTTGGTGAGTTTATAATTCTCTACGTTTAGTACTTATGGGCAGGTTGTGGAGGAGGTCTTTTATGACCCTGCATTATTTGGTAGGACACTGCTTAATTGAATCAACTGTGCTTTCCAGGAATGGCATTGCTGGGATGTGATGTAGTTTCTACAGATCAAATAGAGATTGTGCCATTGTTGAGGAGAAATGTAGAACGTAATATTTCAAGGATCATGCAGATGAATTCTAATTCAGGTGCGCTTTATTCAGCTCTTGTAACTTATTTTAAAGGATTTGTACAGGTTGCAGTTATTTTTTCTTTTGGCCACCTGCCACAACTAATCTTGACTGAACAATTTGGCTTTTAGTAGTAGAATTATTTAACAATCTGATAGAGGGTTGTCCTTTCATCTACCTGGCAATGCTATTGGAGAAATTGAATAGCAGAATGGTTCGTTTATCTCATGCGGTTAGTATGTTTGTTTTAGATTCATTTGGATCAATCCAGGTCGCAGAGTTGGACTGGGGAAATGAAGATCACATAAAAGCTGTTGCTCCACCATTTGACTACATTATTGGTACAGATGTTGTAAGTTCTCTGGATGTGTAGATTTTTTCAGAAAAAAGTCTCTGATGTTGTAGTACTGGTCCATGTTGAAGGTGATAACTGACTGTCATTGATGTGACAATTCTATCCTTATGTTAGTAAGACAGAACTTTTTATTGCAAATCTAATCATTCGTTTGGTACTTGTCAAAATTGTTAATTGCTTAGAAACATCTGCAATAAAAAGGCAATCTTGTCTTAGCCTTGGACTGTGGATATCCCTAGTCGTCAGAGCTAGTAAGCCATTGATTTTGATGTCATTCAGGCATTATTGAATTTATTCTGGTAGTAACATAACACTTTATGTAGAACAGTTGCAAATATGATACTGATGCTTCTTTTGCCTTTTAAGGTTTATGCAGAGCATCTCTTGGGACCTTTATTGCAAACAATAATAGCATTATCAGGCCCCAAAACCACAATTATGGTATTCCAGTTTTTCTGATTTTCCATTTGAAATTGATTTTATTGCTGATAGAAAATTTTGTTAGTGATTCATATTTTTGTTTTTAAATGTTCATTTTAGTTGGGTCATGAGATCCGTTCTACTAGTGTCCATGAGCAAATGCTTCAGACCTTGAAAGATCTCTTTGAAGTGAAGATTGTTCCAAAAGCCAAGGTATGCATGTTATATACTTTTCAAATGTGAAAAGGAAGGCCTCAAGTTTTGTTATATGTTGTGCATTCTTATCAATTCATAGACTGGGACTGAGTACAGTGAACACTCTTGGTTAATAACTTTGTTTATAGAATCGCTGATGATCAACTGTCCAACTCTATGGTGCTCCTTTATTTCGAATGAAACATGTGTGAAACTCTTTTTGTTCTTGATTCTATCTGCAGGTTTCAGCCTCAGATAAGATATTCTTCTAATTTTGATTGTAGTGAAATTCTATCCCTCATTGAAGTTGTTTAAATTTTTACTCATCCAATGCAGATGGACAGTATGTACCAACATCCAAGCATTCAAATCTTCATTATGGGACTAAAGCCCCCAGCTGTTACTGCAGAGAAGGCGGCCAATGCTGTTAGCCCAGATAAGCTGGACAACAAGACTCAAGGTATTCACCAGCAAGTTAATGAGGTTGAAACAAGCAAAACAGATCCAGAAAAGGAAGAGAACTGTGGAAGTAGTACTGTGGTAGATGATTTGGATGGTGAAATTATAAAGGAAGATTATCTCCCACTTACAAGACTCCCTGATGGGAAGCTTAATGACTGGGAGGCAAGAAGATATGGCTCAATGGCTGCCCGGCTTCTACAAGACATCAAGATAACTTAAATTTTCAGCTATTATTATGTGTTAAAATTTTCGTTATATTCCTCATATGGGTTAATGTACAATTGTGCACCCTCATTTGTTTCGTTAAGGCACCTAGTTCTTTTTTCAGGAAAAGGCATGCACATAGATCCTAGAATCCTGTCATGTTTGGTTGGTTTATATTAAGCTTAGAAAACAACGCTTGAAGATGAAGATTTTATCTTGCCAAATTCTGCATGTTATACTACACAACATGAGCTGGGAAAAAAACAACTCCAGAGCCTTCATCTTGGAAACATCTAAACGACAATGCTCCATTGTACTTAAATGTATATAGTGAACGTATAACAATGCTAGTAGCCTCAGATCATACTTTTCTTTAGGATCTATCAATACTTTTACTCTATCGAATCATCCTTTCTGCTATGGTGTTGATTTAAATTATATTGTTGTTTTGCTTGCAGATGCTTTGACGATTTGATATACCTGTTTTTTTCATTTTCTCACAACCGCATCACTGCTTTTGGAGATGGTAATTTACAAGACAGTGATGTTATTCAACTACTCGTAGTGACCACGGATTGCCGGTGGTGATGGAAGGTTATCCGTACGAATTATGTGGGCTTAGGTGGGTAGCTCGACCTGTGGATTGATCTATTGGCATATGCGTGTATGATAAATGAGGAAAATGAAATAATTTTTATTTGTTTGTTTGAATATTTAAGGTCTGAAAGTGTCCTAGAGGACACAAGATTAATGGCCTTTGAAATTTGATTTAGTAGCGCATCCTATTATATGACATAATTTCAGATTAATTTCTGTTAGTTTCTAATCAGACATAATTTCAGATTAAACTTTGCTACGGATTATGTCAAGGAAAATGTGTCTTATGACTCCTGTTTCTCTCTCTCTCATGACCCTCTTTTGAAAACATTTTGATGGAAGATATTACCGGTATTCATTTAAATATTAGCATAGATTAAAAGGAAATAAAGTAATACAGTGGCCTGTCTTCCGTTTGGGTAATGGTAATACATAAAAAGAAAACAACTTTAGCCACTCAATGGCGGACGGGAGATTGCACCCTTTCACTAATATCATTATGTCAAAAGCATAAATGGTATCGAAACTTGATTGTTGCTGTTTCATCGTTGTGAATTGATGCTGCATGGGTTTGCACCCTTTGTCGATGACCTCCCTTTTCCGTACAAATTAAGATATAATCACACGTCTGCTCAATGAAAAATTATTAGCTTTTGACCTTTTTGGTAAAGGAACCTGAACTTTTTAACCTGATATCCGATGCTTCTTTACGGGTTGTACATCATCGGTTTGATGTCCACCTTCAACTCCTGAATCTTTCTCCATCTTCTTTCTTGCCAGTATTTTATTAATTTTGTGTAGCTCATTGTTGAGCTTCTGGTCCTTGTTTTGCTTTCTCGTCTTCCTTCCATCTTGCATCTTCACACCAAACTGGAAAGCAGCCTTTGGCATTGCTTCCTTCTGCTCATTGTATGTTGCCCATTCCTCTTCTGTTTCAAAGTCCCACCGATGAAGACGACCCTTTGCCTGTTGAAATCATTTTAATAGTATAATAATCATCAATCTATCAATTAAAACCAAAATAAATGAAGAACAGCTTTCAATTTAAGATGGAAAAAATAGGCTTACTCTTCCTCCCATATCCATTTTGGACAAGTCATCTTCATCGTCACTATCGACAATCTCACGGTTGTACTCCTGATAACCAGGATAACATTCAGAGTAACTCTCTGATATGAAATTAGGATCCTTCTCGCGAGCATCCTTCTCCCTCAATTGTTGAAGCCTTTGGTCATCCCGCTTGAACACAGATCCCAATCCTCGATCCTTCTCTTCTTGAGTCATGTATCGTGGATCCTGTGGAATGTTTGATCCCGCCTGTACCTCATAACCTTGCATGTTAGCCTGAAGGTATTGCTCAGGATATGCCAATTGCTCAGCATATTGATAGTCCTGCCACTCTCCTTGGTATCCACCAGTCAAGGCCTGTGTTTGCAAGGCATCATATCCATTCTGAAACCGAACGGACAAAACAGAATAATGAATAATTTAGCAAAAGGACATGAGAACTTAATTTTAACAAAAAAAATTCAGTAGCTAAATATGAATTGCAGGAGTAATTTTAACTATTTGATCTCCAAACGATTGTAAAACAGTTCAATTTCTACCTATTGCACATCACATTTCTCCTGCATCTAGCAAAAAGAATTAATTATAACTAGAAAAACATTACCGGTTCTTGCCATTCTTGAGGAGCAGCAGAGGGTTGCACTGGGCCATAAGCAGCTTCACGAAAGTATGAAACTCCTTCCTTATGTCGAGGCGACTCGTCCATATCCTCTGAAAGAGGGCTTGGGATCATGTCTTTTCCAGGACTATTATAGTCAACACCGTCCCCCACAAATATGTCATCCTCTTCCGCTCTAGCAATAGTCGGGCCTTGCTTCTCCCTCGAATCAAAATGATTTTTCCTCGGAGGGGGTGGAGGTGGTGGCAAAATTTCCTTTTCAGTTCTACCATTAGACATTGCATTATTAGGCTTTGATAGCTTGTCCTCTTCGTCATATTCATTTCCAAGAGATGAAATCTTCCCTGTAGTAAGAAAATGAAAATATTAGTTATACAAATAAACCAATATATTAAAAACAGAAAACAGAAAAGTAACTATATTAACATAAATAAAAATAATATGCAACATATACAGTTGATCCAACACTGAAACCATGTTAGAAAGTTAGCCTCCAACTTATAATAGACAACTAAATATAGCAAACACCTTTTGCATCTCTTTCCTTCTTTTTCTTCTTGACCTTCCCAGATGATCCAAGGCGAAGATATGACAGAATTTTAGCAATTCGATCAAGCACAGAACCGTCAACACTGACAGTAACCATTTCCTGCACAAAAAGTATGTAATCAGAATCTGAAACATTATCTACATAAAAATGCAAATTGCCCAAAGAAATTGTGGAAATACAGACATCTGGCACTGGACAGTCAGCTTTACTCCTGTGCAAGGTGGTTGGAATATCATTAAAATATCCACCCTCCTGGAACAAATAAGGGAAAATTCAGTTAGGAAATTGGAATTATAGGATAAAAATTAAGAACATTCAACAATGCTATTCACAAAAACTTGGCACAATTAATCAATTATAGTCCCAAATACTTGTAAAGTAACCTCGAGGGAAGTATACAAAATGGATGTTTTTCCTTCAAAGTGAATAAGCATTTAGGTTTTAAGCAGCAAGTGAACAGCCTAAGAACCAAAACATGTTAGTGTGGAACAGTTACGTGATAAGGAAAATGCCACAGGCAGTCATGCCCTCCCAGGACCTGCAATTCCACCACATGATAATGTGCAGGTATGCTTGTAAACATGGACCAATCACAGTAACGAATGCTCAAGGTTCATGTAAGGAAAAGTACCCATAGTATCCCTCCTAAAATAATATGAACAAAATGGAAATGTCAGAGATTCTCACCATATTAAAAATAAATGCCATTCGACCAGGTAGAAACATTTCATTTGTCTTCACAACAGTTTGAGGCTTCACTATCCATTGATACACTGACTGATAAAACGAGAAAGGTATCAATAAAAACAGCTTCCAAACCAATAAACAAGCAACTTCTTTCTAAACTAAATTGGAAAAATTATTTCAAAACTCAACATGAAGAAGTTATTGCACCTTCGCAGTGGCTGTGCGAAATGATAATTGCTGATCTTCTTTTGATTTTCTGTCAGGAACAACAAATATTTCTTAACAAACAATTACATAATTATTAATTGAAAAATTAACAGGCAACTTAGCAATTAATTGAAACTTAAATATAATGATAGCCCATCAGCTAATATAACTGAACATTGAACTTTATACTAGTTGTGACAACTTAAGGCTAAAAAATTTGATAATCTTCTAATAAAATGACAGTATATTTAGCACAAACAATAAAGAATTAAATGCTAAACGTAAGGCTAATCTGTAAACTTTGTACTAGCTCTTAGAAATTTCGTACATTAGTTTCCACTACCATGAAATGGGAATAAACTAAAATTACCTAGACTTTCCATCAGCATCTTCTCCAGCATCAGGCTTCTTATCAATCTCACTCCTAACTTTGTTAAGCAAAGCATAATCCAACCCCTTGACCAAATGGGTGTGTTCCACATCACCTGAACATCGCAGACACGGCCACGATAAAAACAGCTAACAAACAGAAAAAGCAGCAAAAGAACAGTGCAAAGCCGCATTACCTCCAAGGTACTTGCTCTTCTCAATGGATATCTTGTGAGCATCGGCTGACCTAAACATCATTCATATAAAAATAATTAATAGAAGCAAAGCAACTTAAAAAATGTATAATGCAATGAAAAAACTGCATCAAATTAGGGTTTAAAGAAAGAGTAGAATCTCACCGAAGATCGACGGTTCCAGGAGGAGCAACAGCATGAAAAGAACCTAATTCAGTTGGCTCATAATCTGGATTTTGATCCTCTCTTCGCTCCTTAGCTCTGTCTCTGTACTTTGGCTGCTCTGGTTCTTCCGCTTTTTCCTCTCTGCACAATTGATTTCCATCTCAAATATATTAATTATCAAAATTCAAACAAAAAAGCGCCTCCAGAATTCGTTTTTCTGATGCTTAAAAAGAAAACGAAGCATTGGATGATACTTACTTGCGACGAGCGATTTTCTCCTTGTAGTATTTCTTCGAGGAAGTCATTGATAAAAAATTTGTACTTTTTCACAGATAATTAAGGATTTGACAGCAGTGAGTCGAAGACTATAAGAGTTTAGGCTTTTTATTTTTATTTTTTTAATTTTTAGAGGATTGTGAATGAAGGAGTGAACAAGTATCGGATTGACTCGAGGGGAACGAAGGAAGGAGAATTCAATTACAGTTACAGTAGAACCCTTGCGTGGGTACCCAAGACTGCGGTTCTATGATGTTGCAATTGGATATTGGGCCTTTGGGCTTTGGGTCAGTTAGTAAAAAGCGCCACTTGTTAATAATGTTCGCTTCGTCCAAACGCAGCGTTTTGGTCTCTTTATTTATGGGTAAACTCCATTTTCATTCCTATTGATTTAAAAGCTTACGACATTGCACCCTTTGATTTTTTCCCGATAGCCCTTGTCGTTAAGTTCCGTTCTCACACGAGATTACGTCGTTAATTTCATTAGTAAAATTATCAAAATATTTTCAATTTGAAAAGTACTTAATTTGTTCACACTTAGAAGTGTTTTCATAATTTTATTAGAAAAATTTACAATGTACCCTCTATGGAAATGAAACTTAATCATTTGCGTTAATTGGAAAAAAAAAAAAAAACATATGGTGCCACGTGAAAAAGGTCCAAATCGTAGGGGAATAATTGAATTTTATTCTATTTTATCCAAATCTAAAATCTTTGGATTTGATATTCCTTAAATGTTTTTAGGTACAAAAATATTGTAATTTGAGAGAATAAAAAAAAAGTTACAGATATTAAAATTTAAATATAAACTTGTTAAATATTATATTTTAAAAATAATTTTATAAATTAATTAAATTAAATTTAAAATTCAAAATACATGTATAGACACATTGCCTACACACATTACACAGATATATTATGCATATACCATTTTATGTTGAAATGTTATTTTGATACAAATTTATTTTATTTTGTTCTCTCATAATTTAAAATTTATGTTGTTCAAATGTGCTCATCGCTAAATTAACCACACTTTAATTTAAAATTTATGTCCTATTTATTGAATTAATTTACATTTTACTCAGTTGGACTTGGCTAACAATTTAAACCCTC